CCCCTCCACTGCCACTCCCCTCCACTGCCACTCCCCTCCACTGCCACTCCCCTCCACTGCCAATCTGTCGTGCTCTTTCAGGGTTAAAGTATGTGATCCTAGGGCTAAATTGTAAAAATGACTCAGATTTTTCATAAAAACAGACTTTCAGACTGACACATATTTAAATTGAATAACAAACCCATGGAAAACATGTTCGGCACTTCTTTGTTAAACTCAATAACAAACATGACAAACTGATTGAAATCAGAGAGTTTAACCATAATTGTTGTAAAAGCCAGAATATATATGCAATGTCTACACTGGCAACTTCTCTGAAATGTATCTCGTTAGTGTGAGGTGTCGATTTATTTTTTGTTAGCTCGAATGCAGGCTGTATGCATAAATGTGCAGATTTGCCTAATAGCATTTCACCACATTATTATGCAGCAGCATTAGCAACTTCCATTGCTAGACCTCGGACACCAGCTTCCTGCAAATGAAGTTGGCAACCTGCTTGTTAGTTGTCCATAACTGAACAAATAAATGAAACTACTCTACACGGCACCATTACAACTGTACACCGTGAAAGACGAGTGAGTTACCTGGCTTTAGTTAAAGCAAAATGGACTTGGCTAAAATATCCGGGGAAGACATGGAAAGAGAACATGGCTGAGTGAACAATTTCAAATAAATAATCATTTTTGATAACCTACAAACTGAGAGAGAAAAACAAAATCATTAAAGAGTACAGTTCAAAGCAGCTATGTTTTTATGACAGAAACTATGCTTGGTGCACACACTACAGCAAGGGGAATGTACAAAAGTCTAGTTTCTGCTGGCCATAGTGAAGTGGAAATTAATTTCTCATGGATTCTAATGGTAGTACATAGCCTCTACGATCTTCTCATCTATTTTGCATAGCATGTGGAAAATATAGATGTTCCTTGCCAACTGAAGCAAATATGAACCACGTACATGTACATGTACATCCGAAATTATTAAGTGGGTCGACATTGGAGCCTTATTTCTTTATACTTTAAATTTGGGGTTCAAGGGTGGTGGCAAAGTTCAACATCTACATGACAGCTCAACTCACCGGCTGGACTGTGCCTTCTCGTTGACGGCCGATTTGGCAGATGAACGGTGGGAGCTTCTGGAAGGGAACCTGTCCTCGGGTCTGGACCTACATCTGTACAGCATGAAAGCAAGCACACGAGGAGCAATTAGAACAATAAGGATCCACGTGGATGTGGGGAGTTGTTTGGTTTGACTTGGCCAGTGACAAACACTGTCTTCTGTGTGTCTGTTGAGGGGAGGGGTGTGGGTACGCCTTCACCATATTGAAGAGCTAATGTCTCCATTGGAAATTTAGTGGCACTGTTCATTTTAGAAAACTACACATACGTGTACACACGGCTATATACAACACAAACATTAAGTCCTCCATTAAAACTATTGCTAAATTGGCACATCTTGTGGTTTGAAAAACAAAGCTTTGACATGAAGCAGCTAGTTTCTGGAAAAGTTGCAGTGTAGCAACATTAATTACTTTCAAAGAGTGACTCAAAAAAACCAACATTCTTGTACACGGGCCACGGGAATCAAGACTTTCCTGAGAAAACTTGTGAATTTTGTCTCAAGAGCTCTTGGAAAACACTGAACACATACAGTGTACGGGTCAATAACCATTACTTCATGACAGCCAAACCTTGATTTACAGTAGAAATGTTAGCCATTTTCTATATTTCCCATGGACGAAGGTCAGCATGGTCAGGGACAGTATTCGTGGACAGCATTACAAAACCGAAAGGCATGCAAGTTAGAGTATTAGCAAATGAGCATGTATTATCAGTACAACATGTGCATGAGTGATATAAGTCAGTAAGGCACAACCTAGGACAAACATGGTGCACTACAAGATAGCACAGGTGTTGACTTTAGACAGACAGGCAGATCAAGAAAGAGAGTGCAGACATATGACACTCCCTGTCCAAAATAGATGCCACTGTGGTTGGCGCCACTGAGACTCACTGTAAGAACTCCTTGAGGTCCTCCTTCAAGTACATCAGCCACTCCCTCTGCAGCATCAGCACAGCGTGCTCCTTGGCACGGTTAAAGGTGGATGCCTCCACGAAATCACTGGTGGTCAGGAGACGCCGGTGGATGTTGTCCCTCTCGTAGGGATCTATTCCTGTGGGCAGAATCCAAGCCATCGAGAGCAGCACATTAAATACATGTAGGTTTCAGGTGAAACAAAAGCTTCAGGTGAGTTCTATTGGTAACTATCTTTATACTGACTGGATAGCAAGTCTGAACTGATGGGTGGACGTCACCGGGCACCATCTTTGGAGGCCCAAATTCTATGCATGCGAGTGTTGGAGACTGACCCAGAGACAAGATCTTAGTCACAGAGGATTATCCTACTTTTACAAGCCATTTCATGGAGTGGACCTAGTTTTTATATTTATGCCAAATGTATTTGATCATTTCCCAATAGTATTATTCCACAATGAACTTATCCCTGAAGCAGAATGTTTCTGCCAAATATACTGATTTTTCTAAATGGCGAGATACACTACCACAAGCACAGTTTTTTACAAACATGGACTAAACAAATGCTGACCAAAGGTGATAATTTGTTCAAACTTTGTGCAAAATTACAGCTGAGACAATATCTTGAAGTGTTATTTGCTATAACACCTGTCTTTGGCCAATAGGACCCCATATACACCGTACGCTCAACCTAAATGACAAGTCTAAGGCTCCATCCAAATTTGTTGTCTGGAGCTAGGTCAAGGTCTTCACTCCATTAGAAATGCACAAAGATGTGCAGACAATAGACCTAACCATAGCACTGGAAGCCGTTTCAGACACAACCTGAAGCTACGTGTGTACAAACTCAACGGGAATCACTCAGGCACGGGGATGTGAATTTGCTAGAACATACATGTACTTCAACGTCCTCCATGTTATCACACAGAAAATCCCTACGTATCACCAGCTGTGGAGTATTTAAACAAAAATCTTATTTTTAATGCATGAATCATTGAATATCATCCGATGCTACTCAAAATTACGAACAAGCATAACACGCTATGCTGCACCAAGCCAGATGGAAGCCTAATTTGTTATCGGTCATACCAGTTTATAGCTACATGTGTGTATCACACACACTTCCTCTTTGGTGAAGGCCTAACACTTTGGAAGAAAGTTTCCGCCTGAAGACAAGAGGCCTGCACAGATCCGGATCCCGATCAGTGGTTTGATGTTGGTTCACTGACACCAGAACCTGCCTAATGGGATACAGTGAACCGGCCTTGGGACCACTGATGAAAACTCAGATCCGTGTGGAACAAAAAGGCCCAAAGATAGCAATGGCTTACAAGAAATGCAGGGATATGCATGTAAATGTTAAACAAGGATGTTATTCTTTGGGAAAACACTCAAAGTTAAATCACAATACATGTAAGAAGAATATGGCGTTGCATCATGCAAAGCCATTGGAGAAAAGCGACTTAAATAGTCCAATTTTTTAAAAAGATAACTAACTGAAGGTGGAATTTAATTAATGATGAAACCAACTATGTATGCTTACACGTACCAATATTCCACATGCCTCCATCCATGATGAATTTGTTGAATATGGACCAGGCATGCCCCATACGCAGCAGCCTGTCTGCTGCACGGTCCTCGGCAACTCCGTAATCAGTCACGTCTTGCCAGAAGAGAAGATTGGCCAGCAGCCTCCGATCAACTTGTCTTGAAATGAAACCAAACAAAGACGACAGTCCCGTCAAAGATTTTGATTAAGGAAACTCAAATGCACGAGAATTTAGTGTGAAATAAACTGAACTAAAAATGCCACACTTTCACAGACACTCCTCGAGAACCCTTTCTTGGCTTCTTATCTGGCCCTGAAAATTTCTGTAGGCTTATAATGTTTGGAACATGTGAAAAGACTCTTCTGGATTCATATCTTCTCAGCAAAGCATACAGGACATATTGTCCTGGCATCTCCAATGTTGGTGGCTGTAACATCAGACAAGTCAAAGGCAGGGACAGATTAGGTATGAGAAATGGCCACGATGGACTAGAACTGCCAGTATGCAATACAGCCTCTTTCCAACTGGCATTGCTCGTTGCTAAATGTTAAAGATTTGTACATTTGAAAATTTGAAAATGTACCTGATAATAAACTTGTCAGAGAGCTTACTTTTCAAGGTGGCGTTGAAAGGGCCTACCAGCCTCTCTGTCACAGGCCAGGCCAATGTGGAATCGAGCTGACAGCGGCCGCGGCACATAGGGTACCGCATCCAGGTCCACCAGCCGGCCCGGCCGCACCACGTCCTCCATGCGGCGGCCAGCCGTGGCCACCCGGCTCCAGTCGCGGGCGGTGGAGGCCAGCCGGAAGCAGGAAGAGGGCCGAACCGGCAGGCTGTTGACCAGGGAGATGGAGGGCAGGAAGGAGAGCTGGGGAGTCTTGGGGTCTCTGTCCATGTCGGAGACCAGCGAACGGTGCTTCTCGGGGCTAAAAATATAGTAAACAGACAACTTTGTCACTGACATACGGCACAAAAAACACTGTGAGGGGGGCTGATAATCTACAATATTTCAAGAAAACGGTGGCAATACCTTAAGTCGCCCATTCTCTCCTTGTGCAAGACAAACCTGGCCACCCAGTAGGAGCGCAATCTCCTGAGGACGTCATACTGGGTCCGTGTGAAGACTGATTCACTCAGCCCTGTGTTACCCTGTGCTCGCTTGATTTGTTCTTTGGCGTCTGATGTGAGATTGAACTTGTATTTATCCTGTATGTCTCTGTAAATTGCCAACAAATCAACAAGTTCATTAGCATCATGTTACAGTCATCTAATACAACAATTGGTTTGAGCTAAATTCAAACACTTGCTTAAACCGTGAGTTTTGGACAATCCAAAAGATCCATGGCTGTCAAATGAGAGAACGTTTTACATTTGGCACAAACAGAAAAATATCTACACCAAGTACACACATGGTACATCTGAAGTTCATACATGAACACTTCTCATTGCGCACTTGCAGTGAGTTGAAAGAGTTCAACATCCTCTGTTACCCTGCCTTTGAAATTTGAAATATTCTGGTAGCTCTGGAATATTTTAAACTGTATGTTCAAAAGAACTGTAAAAGCCCAGAACCGAACATCAAACACTGCATTTCTTCTTTTGTTGAATGTGATGGCACATTATCTTCCTGGTACATTATTGTTTAGTGACATACTCTCCTTCCTAAAATCTATTTATTAGATTTTTTTTTCCTGGTTTGAGCTTGCTAAATCTGTTTACTTACTACATGTTGTTACTTTAATAGATGCAAATAATGAAGCTTATCAAATACTTTCAAGAAAATATTGAGAAACTAAGTTTGAACAGTTAAAAAGTTTCTACTAAATAAACAGTAAACAACAAAAGTAAACATGTATGCGGCTACCAATAAAACAGTTATCTCAAACATAATTACAATGTGCTTTCACAATAAACAAAACTTAAATGGAGGATATGTTCAGCGAGAGATATTTAATTCAATGCCCTTGATACCTGGGTTGGCCTTTGATTATTTGGTGTGGAACTGTGTAAGTTTGTTCCAACAGCTGTGATTGTACACATATTCTTACCTAAATAGTCTGGTCATGGTTGGATTGGTTGCAGACTCTCCCATGTGTATTGCTTGCACATTGTCACTGTACAGCTCACAGTCCAACCAAAAGTTCATCATGTCTTCCCCAGCTGTGTCACTAAGAAAGGACTTGAAGGCCGTCATACCTTCAAACTTGGTATTTGAAAAGGACCGGAAAATAACAAAAGTTATGGTTGGGCATTGCGAAGTTATTTCAGCGTGAATAAAACACAGACAAATATACCATAAAGATGCACTTTATTATTCTTGATGACTTGTTGCTGTATGTATTCCAATAAAATTTTTCTTCTTGATCCAACAAATTTACTGGGATTGGCTGACTGCACATTTAAGGTAGAGATTTATTCAGACTCCAATGTTGGTTTTCAAATATCCAAAAGCTTTTGGGCCAGTTTGTTTCACATGCATCTGGATCTCGATCAATGATCCCATCACTACTTCAATCCATCCATTAGGCGAGTTTTGGTGTCAGTGAGCCAATGACAGATCATGGATTGCAATCTGGATCCGCGTGAAACAAACATGCCCTTTGCGTACTCGAGTAACCATGCTTTTCACCAAATGAATGCGTCAACACTCACACTGCCAATGATGTGCTCCTTGAGTTGCTGGAAGGTGACGCGATGCCGTCCTTCCATCTCTCTCAGCTCCGACTCAGTCCGCTCATCCTCCTCATCATCGTACTCAATGACGCTGGCCGTTGCCGTGGCCGCATCCTCTTCATCTTCGGCATCTCCAGCCAGCAGACTCTGCTCCAAGGGGGTCTGGTAAATGGAGCTTCCAGCCGGAGGGTGGACAGCATAATCGTCGGAGGGAGACGGAACCCTGGCAGTGAATAAGATATCAGAGTCACTCCTTTGTGCCAAACAAGGCAGGAATAACTTCAGACAGCCAAGCCAGGATTTCTCAACACAAATCTATGGCTGATGAGGAGAGAGAAATTTCTACCATCATTAAGCAAGGTAAACACTGCAGGCTTCAATGTTAACTGGAACCAAGACTCCCTCCATACAGTTGACACTTGATCAGGTTGTTGATGTTAATAGCACTCTTATGACAACTACGGTTAAAAAGAACAAAATCTGAAGTGCCAAGTCTCTTCAATTCTTTTTCTGTGCTTTTCTGACAAGGTTCCTGTTGAAATTATGTACATGTGATTTGGCTGTTCCTTGCAACCTTTTTACAACAAAAGTTGACTGTATTTCTGAGATTGGCAAAACATGACATACTTTACCACAGGATTCTGACATCTGGAGCCCACTACTCAAGACACATCTACCAGTGATCATTAACACATCCACAGAGCTAAATTATTAAGCTCTACACCTCAGCTGGTCAGGTACACCCAAGATAACAATCAGGACCAACTAATTTTCCTTTATTTGTGCCAAATATTTACAGGTTTATCCAATACGATCATTCTGACATCAAATTTACAAAAAAATGGGCATACCGCTCTCTCAAAACGCTCATATTTCTGAGACAGATCAGCCAAAACTGTCACATGACACTTTTTTAACTGATATGCTAAATACACACAGGCTGACACAAGTGAGGCCCTGAACTATAAATGACCGTAACAACAAAAGCCTGCATCAGACTAAATTGAAGCTTCAGAAATGTACTCATGATGAATAATTCCATCAAGCTGTGAGATGGACCCATGAAAAGGTTTTCAGGTTAAATCCATCTGGCATCTGATCATGTGTTTTACCTGTCTAAAAACTGGAACGTGCTGCTTGATTCCTCCAATGTATTGCTGAGAGTATCATCAGTGTTGGGGATCAGAATGGTGGTTTTCTTCTTCGGTGAGATACCCTTAATCCCTGGACTTCGAAGGGCACTCTTTCTGCTGGCTAAGAAGGTGAATTATAAAAACCAGAACAAGACAAGCATTATAACCTTCATCTGCACATTCAGCACTGTTGATGAAGCTATAGCCTAAACACAGTCTTCTTTCTGGACCACGAAATGAAATCCTAAATTAATGGCATATTAACATGTTAATAGGAAGGAGAAGATTTAATTTTGAAATGTGGCAAAATTACTGGCAAATGCAATTGTATGCATTTCCAAGTGTGCCATCAGATGCCCTGGCTGTTGCACCAAGGATTTGCTATCTTTTTCTCCTTGCACTTTTCTGTTGCACCTGACCTGTGTAATTTGACATGAAAATATCACTGAAATTGACTTCAAGCTGAATTTGTTTGTTTGGCAGGAAATCTGCATTACATAATCACTCTTGGAATTTAAAGAATGTGTTCTAAACTTTCTGCATCATACAGTATGTCAGATGTGACTAGGGACTCAAAATAAATGTGGACTCTAAATTTGCAGAATGACTCAACAGTCTTATGGATTCTGAAATCAAAGAGTACTGTGGTTGGTAAGTGGATGCTGATACTAGGGTGGTTTTCATTCCGGAATATGTACATATAGAAGGTAAAGATTTCAGAGTTTTTTAAGCTTGCAATTTTGAATAAAAATGTCTATCTTCCCCTCCTATTCAGTACATAAGTATTTGAAAAGGACAGCAGGGGTGGATCCAGCTTTCAAGAATTCACTCTTATGAGAGGTTCTACGAGTAAATGTCCCTGACATTGGAGAGTCCAAGGTATAGCTTTCCCTCCACCCCCAAGAAAAGAAAAAACTTAAAACCATGATACTCTCTCCTACATTCTCAGAAATGTTGAGAATAACTAAAGAGCCCTTAGTCAAGTTCAGCCGCATGTTATGAGGTTACGAGTATCCCAAACATTGTCAGTAGCTGCACTGGGAGGATGCAACCTCCCTAGTCCGCTACTGAAGTATGTGATCACCAAGTATTTTCAATATTTTTCCAGCACATTTATGATAATTGCCGGTAGAGTTCCACGCTGTCACATGGCACAACTTGCCTGCCCCTCCGTCCTGCTTGCAGCTGCTCTCAGCATCCCCATTCAGGCTCAGCCTCTGCTGGACGTCCTCCGTGAACTCCGCCATGTCCCCCACCCACCCATTCTCCGTTGGCTCTGCCTGCGGGTGGGGCGGCAGAGGGTTGACTTTGCCAGCCGACCGCCGGCCTGACGCTGACTTACTGGAGGGCTTGGCCATGGCAGCATCACGGTGGCTGTCATTGGTGACAGCAGCAGGTACTTCAGAGTGGACTTCATTATTCCACATGGGACTACTTGGGCCTGTTGCAAAGACCATTCCCAACAATCACTTAACCATGTGAGTAAATCTCACTAATCTGGCCATTTTGATGGATTCATTAACTAAATGTACACACAGAAATATTCTCCCATCCAGCATCCCCTCAGGGTCCAATTTGTTCTCGTTATGATTTTCCTGAAGGCAGACTCACACTTCAGGCGAATGCACCAGTGAAGTAAATTTAGTGTCTAGAATCATTTACAGCAAGCAAGATTCTCTTGAGCTGAAATGTGTTCAAACTTTTGTGAATTTATAGCAAAAATGTTTGATCTGACATCACAATTCCATACTCACGTTCACGTTTGCACAAAGTATGTATAAACCAACCTTTAATCCTGCAAATTTGGACAGCTGATACATGTATCTGTACACAAAATCTGGTACTAATTGAGAGCAACTGCAGTTCAAGTAACTAGTTCATTCTGACTGGAGTGATCTATTCAACTATTCTGTGGGTAGACACCCAGTGTTAAATGTACTGGTTTAAAACCACTTCATGGCAATTCTCTTCCCTTAACATTAGAAGTAAATACTTTTCACAGTCACCGTTACACATTTAATTTACTTTTAATATGAAAAAATAAAGACCAAACGAAGAAAGAAATCCTCACCTATGTCTAACATGGGAGGCAGACTGATGCACCGGCTGCCAGGCCGCAGATATCTGAACATGGCCATGCGTTCATTTTCATCCAGCCAGTAGGCATAGTCACTGCCCTCATTGTCGTACATGGACGGCTCGCGGCTCTGGGCCAGGCTGGCCGAGGTGGAGGTGAAGCTGGTGGTCTGGCGGCTGTAGCCCCGCAGGCCGCGGGAGGAGTTCTGCCGGCTGGTCGGCCGGCGCTCGTCCAGCGGCCGCAGCAGCAGCTTGCATAGTTTGTACTCCAGGAAGAGCTTTGTTCTGTTGGAGATCAACCAGAGACACTGAAGACAAAGCAACAAGCATGATCACGACCCCTCTGTTCTTATACATTCCTGTATTTTAATGAGCCTTGATCTATCTCTAGAATAACCATGGCAAAGAGCACGCCCATTTTTTTAATTAACAATCGAATGTTCCAACAAAAAGGAAGTTGCTGTGGTAAACTTACTCCAGCCTTTGGGTTCTTTTCTTTTTCAGTTTTTCAAGCACTCCAGCATACACAGCCAATATTCAATCACTGTGACAAAATTATTTCAATTACAACATATGCATGTACAATGCATGCACATACATGTCTTACCTACATGTATTTGAATGCCGTTATCGAAACTCAGACATCAAAATTCTAAATTTAAAAGAAAAAATCTTACCTCCAAATGTTCAAACCATTGCAAAAAGACAGATAATGAAATTTCTTTTAACGAAATATCACAAGTGCCATACTGGAAGAAGATTATTGATGTTTCCTCAGCAAAACCTTGCAATAATACATTATTCACAAGGCTTTACATTAACCATAGAGATACTTGGAAACTTCAGTCCAGCCAGCTTTATTAGATTATATTAAAGCGACATAACTACACTGCTCAAAATGTTACAAAGATTATCTAGCTGGAGACTATTAAGCAAGGATAGGCATTTATGTCAGTTTCACACAAACTTTTATCTTTCTGTTCAAAGAAATCACATTAACATGTACTAATTATCTACAGAACTTCAGAACATGACGAAAACCAAATATTCTCTAAAAAAACAGCTGAGAGCAGATTAAATTTTGGAACCATGTTTTCGCAATGGAAATAGCTGAGCAAATGCAGGTCTCAAAAAACCACAACGATACCTCAAAAATAGCGGTAGCCTCTCTTTCTTTGCCCAGTCCAGGATTCGCTCTCGTTCTTCGTCCCCTGGTGCGTATGCAGCAACATGGCGCAACTGCAGACGCGATCCAGGGATCCCCTCCTCAAGTGAGGCCAGAGCAGAATTTGTCTTCTGCCCGTCATCGTCCACTTCTTGGAATGTCCCCGTCAGACGATTGTAGTAAAGGGGTTGAGGGAATGCCTACATATTCAAAATATTTGCATAAAAACTCCCTGTTTTGAAATTTCTGCATAATTCCACATAAAACATATACAAAAAGTCACCAAAACATCTTGAGAAGTTTGGATCAAAACAAGTGTAAAAAATTAGAGTGGACAAAGAAGGAACAAAAACAAGGGGAAAAAAGACTGTATAATTAAGATCTCTTACAATCCCACAGTAGTTTTAAAATACACAAATACTGACTGCCTCCAGTGATACAACAAAACTGGCCACTTTTACGTAACACACCACCAAACAAAGCAGTTAACTATTTTAGTGATATCATAATAATTGAACTAAAAGCTTACAAAAATAAGCCTCTACTTTAATTTGTAATGAACTCATAAGGCGCTTGTACATCCAAGCTTCCTCTTGATGAAAATATTTCCACCTATTATTCAAACTCTTGAATCGCACAATGTATGTGCACATGCACACAGACACCCAACTCCAGTGGCTAATCTGATAGCATTCCTCAGAATCAGGTGTCCATCAATGGGCAAAAAGAATAACATTATCAGTCAACACACAACACAATCTTGACCAACTGACAGACAGAATCTGCGGGTGCGATGTTACATGTACAACGCCTCAATTTTTATTTCATATTGTTTCATTAAACCAGCGAGTCAAATCAACCAGTCTTTAATATCCAACAAAACCTTCAAACTTCTAATTGAAACTTACCGGTAGCTGTAGGAATGCATTAAAGTAGTCCAGAAACAAATCATCATAGACGAGAAGAGCCTCAAAGTTCTCCTCACTCACTTCAATGGCTGTCAATCAAGGTAAAAATAATAGATTTGAAGACTGAATTGAAAGCCTCCTTCATGGATGTGTATATTAAAAAACAACATCAAACTGATAACTAAGAGCTAATTTTCAACCACTTCTGCTGTATCAGTAATTTGTAAGACAATTACATGTACATAGTCGGATAGAATACATTTTGTTGGAACCACAGACGCCATAAAGAAACCTGGAATCATAGATATATACAGGTACCAGAAGTTGCTGAGCTGTCAGTGGCTGGTGTTGTCCTCTTTACATGTACATGGACACCCAACTCCATTTTTCCAGATAAACTACACCCATGCAGTACATACATGTACATGTATCTGTCACAGTAGGTCAGAGTTTTGTGCTGGTCTCTTATCTCGTGATAAAGAAAAACCAATACCTTATGCAAACTATGCAAAAAAAAGTTGTGTTGCTACTATAAATGAGGCCAGCTCAAGTGGCACTTCGTGCATTAATGTGTTACTTCGGCTAATGCATTGCCGCTTGATGGCTTGGCCGATCACTTGGTACCGAGGTATGCGTTTCTGCACTTCAAAGTACAAAGTTAAAAACGTGCGCATCGTCCACACAACCTGTGAACTTTTATATCAGTGAACACAGACATCAATGACAGTTGCTGGGAAATGTACAACTGTATGCCGGCACTTGAGGGCTCCAAAGTTCTGAGCTTGAGACATACTGTATTTTACTCTCAGAGACCTCTAAAAACTTGGACAATGTTGTTGTTTGTGGAACAGATTGACAACTGCATTTATTCAACCACAGTCAACTAACCATTGGACCAAACATGCCAAAGGCCCATAAAACCTAGTAGTTTGTCTGGTCAGCACTGTATGAACATTTTACATTCGCTGACCACACAATGACCATAATTTCCCCCACGTTTTAGCCAGCTTGCACGGACAGCCACATCAATCCTAAAAAGCTATAACCCAACCTGGCGCAATTGCCAAACAACTTTGGGCATGCCTACCCCCAACAACTTGGCGTGCTCGCCACACCTCAACTTGGGTACACTAGCCTGCAACACGTACATGTACCACCATTTTGGGCATACATGTAGCTTGCCCCGTAACAACTTGGTATGCACACAATCATTTTGGGCACATTTGGCTGAACCAATATGGTGAGAACAAGAATCAAACTGTATTCAGGGTTTAGTGATTCAAATGTACAATGTATATTAACTCTTCCGTCAATGTTTCCACCAATTAGACAAACTATCGGACAAAACGCCTCTATGCATGACAAAAAAAGTCCACTTCTGGTAAGTACATGTATACATGTAAATGTAGAATGTACACGTACATGTACTTGAAATTATTTGGAGTGCCTGCCCCCCTGGGAAATGGAAGTGCTAGGACAGTATTTATACAACTGAAATAATAAGATATAACAACTTGTAATAAATGTATTAATTAATAACCTATTTTCAACAAGTACTACTTTGACATTAATTGAGAGTGAGGTCTACAGGCAGCCCCCTTTCCCAGCAAATTGTGTACGCCCCTTTTTATCTTCATTCAACTTACGGTCACCGGTAGTTGGTGGGTTATAAAAACAACATTGACTGGTTTTTAAGCTGATACGAACCAAAGAGCACATTTGTGCACCATCCTACAGTATTTAGGATTTGAGCCACGCCAGCAATGCTCCCTTTGGTCAACAAATGAGGAACACCCCCTTCACAAGTACCCGATCACTGAAGAAAATTAGTACACAGGCAAGTTTATTACAATGACTGATTTACACCATGTTTACACTAAGTTCTGCAAGTTAAAGTGTAGCCACAAAGAAATTTTCTTTGACACGATTTTTCGGCAACTTTGTACTCTTCCTCAATGTGTGAAAACTCTGTTACATTCCTATTTGGTTAAAGGCATTGGAACGTGCACTTATTAAAACTGTTAAAATTTTCCATGCTTTCCTGGACAACTGGGAGCGCTGTTGCTGTGACATCATCCAGGAAAGACATACATGTACACGTACAGAAGTTCAGTGCAAAGGTTTTTCTGTTTTAATGGTGAATTTGAACTTACTAGCTTGCTTTCCGCTATGCACATGAACAACATCAATCAGCATAAGAGAAAGGATTGAGTCAAGTAAAACCTACAAAAAAGAAAGATTTTTATGTGTGCAAACCAATGTAACTTTGAGGCTTCATCCTGAGATGGCATCACAGTTTTGCTCATGAGTATGGGAATACTCATCAGCATAAAAACAAAAAAGGCAGTAAAATACCCTCTAAAAAAGTGAAACAAAAGTTGAAAATAAGGTAAACTTAAACTAAAATGTTTATATTAAAACAAATGGATTGCAGCTACTGTTTAAAGAGTGCATCCACACAGTGCGGTTTACACAGAAAATAATGTTATTTGTTGTGTACATGTAGGCAGTAAAACAATTTTTTAAAAGTTGGAATGGGAATTGTTACAGCTGTACCACTATGCATACATGTATGTACGTGTACCCAAGCAACTCAAAGTACAATTTTTGCCAAATATGTAGCTGTTTTCAGCATGTTTTTGTTGCTGTAGTAGTTGTTGTTTTGAAAGGTTTTTTGATCATAAAAATTCTCCATCAAAATTTTAATTTGAGCAAGAGGTTGAATAGGCCTACTCAAAAATATTACATGGGCAACTCAAACTGAAAAATGGACCAGGCTAAGAAAAAAAAGACTGTTACAAAATCTTCAGATCTACAAGCATTGAAAGCAAAATATTTGAGTACTATGCAGGTAAGATTGGGTGTACATGTACATGTAAAATATTACGTGTATGTGTGTTTGGTTGAAAATCTTTTGGGGGCTAAAACTGCGGATTTGGGGAAGTCATTTCGGCATCTTGTCCGAACATGAAAAACATGAGTGTTAAATTGCAAGTTTCTAGTATGCCTGTAAGTCAAAGAAAAGGCTTCATATTCAAAAGGGCTCTTTTGTTTATTAGTTTATGTTTTCATTTGCACCAACGGTGGGCAGACAAGCTAACCAATCATATTCATTACTAGCCAAGATTTGTTGAGAACTTGAGAAATGATATGCCAAAACATTTGCAAATAAGGAATTACAGTAACAGTAGTAACATGCAATGTGAGTAAATGTTTTGTATTCTTCACTATAAAGCTCTTTTGCAATGCGCCTACATACATCACTTGTCCAATTGTAACTCACAAATAATCTAACTAAGCCATTATGATTTTAAACATGTTACAGGCATTACTGAATGCAAAATGACCAGCTTCTATACATGCACAGAATGCAATCTGATAGAGTCTTTGTCCACCCTGGCAAATTTATTTTCTTTCAAAAGAACACAACGTCAACCTCATTCTGGAAAAACCTGTATTCACAGGACATTTGGTCCAACCAACACAGAACTTGACACACCGAAAGTCTGATTTCCAGTATCTTCATGGACAATCTGACTAAATGTACAAGGACTTGTATATTTATTAAGAAGCAAGCGATCTAACTTGAAGTGAACACCATTGACACCAATAAAATTGTAACAACTGCTGTTTCGTTTTTAATATTGTCTTACACCACAATGTTCCACTCTGTTTAATTCATTTAAATCTGCTAATAACATTCCCTTCTCTTACGGGTATGATACAATAGGAGAGATATGGGCTGAAAAGGCTTGCTTGGAAATCAACACCGGGGGGTCTAAGCCTTCTGTAAATTCATGCTTAACGGTGGATCTGGGAAGGGGAGGGAGGAATATGGGATAATCCCCCCAAAAATGGATGAGTCTTTCTTACTTTTTTAAAATCAAAGTGAAGATATTAAGTGTCTTAAAAAACCCCCAAAAGTCAAGAAAGCCAATAGGTGGTGAAAAAGGTATTTTTGGTGAGTCTTTGGAATTTTTGAGAACCGTTTTCACCTTACTAAGAATGTAATATCGCGGAGTGTTAGTATGATGATCCCGTTCAAAATTGAAAACGAGGAATACTTATGCTCCACTCAGTAGAGCTCGTAGGTGATTATGAGATCATGTTCAATAACTCTAGGGTTGATGCAGTGAAAAGAGGGCAGGGTTTTGAGTTTTGAGGAAAATTATGAGGGGAAACTGTGAATGTCTACCATGCACATGGTGGATTCCCATTTGCATGGCTGGTTTATCAGCAAGAAAATCATATTTTTTCTCCATTTACAATTCAAAATTTCAAAAATATGGTCAGCACAATAAAGAGAGCATTGCCTTTGGTTGGGGGGCTGCCCAGTTAAAACAGGATTAAAACGACAAAAAACTGGCACGTCCCTAAATATACAATCCCCCACTAAAACGACTATTGCTAATGCTAGTCTCGCTTCCTGAAGTGAAAGCCACAACACACGGAGTTGTTAGCATAGCTACATGTACATGTAGCTGACTAGCCTAAACGTTGAGCTAAACAACACCGTAAATTAATTTTAGTGTAAAGCCATATTCATGCATGGTAAATCGAAATGATGACAAAAAGATGTTCGTCTTACGTTTCATGTCTGTGATTTACAATTTATCCAGAGAGGGCGGTGATGACGATTTGTTTCTGTAAATCCAACTCATTTGTCTTGTCTACAGAAATCAGCTCACAGGGCAGAAAATGGCCCTGCCATCAATAATCAATTTCAGTATGCGGCCAGCAAATTGTTTCGACACTGTCCAGCGCCATATTCAATCAGCGTACTTACGTTTCCAGGGAGCGAGGCTGTTACATCAATCACACTTACCTTATTTCTCTCCTCTAATCAGCAGTGAAATAAATGTCCTCAGTTTCAAATTAAAAACCCAAAATCCTAATTTACGACATAAAATGTAGTTTATGTAGTAATATTACAAATTTTAGCACAATATCGCAAATACTGACGGATTAGTACAAGTTTAATAGTTGTTTAGCGCAAGGAGTGAGCGTAAATCATGCAATAGTAAATATAACGAGGCAACCTGTCATTACAGTCCCGGTCTGGGCCTTTCACCTCTTGTTCGCTTGTTTGCACTCCGGTTTGTCTTCTCCACATAACAAGTCCGCTGGTGACTGATCCCTGAACATGATGGCTTTTACCTGTCATAGTATCATTTGAATGAGATTACTATGATTTAATTCCGGGGCTTTTGGATAAATAACATCTGAAAACATCAATACTACGGTCGCCTAGCAAATTGTCTTCAAATGGCATAATAAAGAGAGCTGTTCATAATGAGAAAAACCAAAAACAACACGAAACTCAAATACTACTAGCAAACTAAAAGTGCGAGGCCTTCACAACATAAAAAAGTTTCATTAATCTAAAATCTTGAGGTCTTGTTCACTCATATGTCTCAAATTTAAGGATTAGCGATTTAACTTGGCTGCATCTTGTCTGTATGTTGTTGGATATTGCTGTATATCGCAGCATATTAATGTTCACCACATGCCCCACATTTCAATTTTCCAAAGTGATGAGATCGAACCCCAAGTTTTCTACAACGCCTTGGACAAGTTCGTCATGGCGGCCCCAGCCAGTTGTCGACTAAGGCAGTCTACTATACTAATTCAAGTGAGAACTTCTGACCAGCCATTAGCATTAAAACTAAAAGTGCCCCCACGGTATCTTTTGGAAAAGAAGAGTTTTTGGCCACTAAAATGGTGAGACTGTGTAAATCTTTGCCAAGATCAACTCCCTCGGTCTTTGAGCTTTCACATGACAGCAAAAATGGCAAAAAAATACGGTTGAAAAATGGTCATGTGCGAACGAATGGCACATAGCGCCCTCATCAGTTCTCCACTTAATTCTGTCAAATGAGTTTATGACGCAGAACCTGGGCGGGAATCAAGATGTGGACCTCGGCGGAATACGCAAGAGTTTTGGTATACCTTTCTCATACTACTCTGTGGAATGTGTTTTATAATCGTCAGACTAAATGGGAATCAACTTTGTATTTACTGTCAAGAATCTCACTAAGCATACACGTGCGTAAATCTAATTCAGTGTTTAACAGAACGAGACACTGAGCCACCACCGTGATCGCGTTGACAGGTCCAGCCTGTCATGAAACATTTAATGTCATAAATATTATTTAACAGCTTCTCATTACGCTTATCTTAAATTATTCATGAATAACATAAGCTCTCTTTTAATTGGAAGTGAATTTTCTGACTGCTTGTCCTATTTTGAGGGACGTTGATTGTATAGTAATATGCCTGTTTTCCTCCAAAATAACTTCCTTCTTCCAAGTAACTAAGAACTAATCTTCCATTTCGATGATGGTCAGAGTAAGGAAAGTTTTTTCTCAGATTCAACAAAGAAGGAAACTTATTGTCGCATTATTTGGTTGAGTATAGTCTTCAATAATGTCCCCACTTTAGGGAAAACGACGCAATGCCACAACGCCCTTCCCCAAACATTTCCCGTCCAGTTGTGTAGTCCATGACTTGTGCATAGGCTAACAGACAAAAGTTTTACGACAGCCTACTGCACTCTGCCTTCGAATTAGATCCCGATTCTACATTAGAGTACATCAGAACAATTACACCAGGTCATTTTATTTCGTCTGTGTAGGCTGTTATAAGCTATTGTGCCGTAAACTAGTGTCTTCTTGCAAGTGTGACTGAAAGTATCTCCCATCGCCACACAAATTGGAGACACTGACACACTGCCACAGCAGGACTGGTTTATAAGTCAGAGAGGAATTCAGCCTTGGCCAAGCACGGTCCTTGAATGTTGCTCACACAGCCGTAGGTTGGACTGGAAAACTTCTCCATTACAGCCTGAATAAGACAAAAAAATGCAATACACTGAACAATGTATCGAACATCAACTGAACTGATTGATTACAAGGTTTCTTTTGAACTTCTGCCGCGATTTGGCCCTCGGGCAAGATGTGCAATTTTCGCATCAGAGTATCGCGAATGCTTTTGCGGTATCCGCGCTTTCTTTACAAAAGTAGCAAAAGAGATTGAGACTGACATATGCAATGCGGTGCCGAGTGTAACTTACAGCAAGCCAAATGGGGAGGGGGTAAGCGATTAAAATGACACCTGGCGACTGAAACGACTAGCCTACAGATAGTTATTTAAAAACTGATGTTCGATTGGGGAAAAACACATTATTTGCCTGAAACAAATATTTTTTGGTGTATGAATCATCTAGTTATAAGTCACGTGCAGTCACCTTGTACGGGCTTCTGTTGGCTTCTGTAACAAGCCTAGCCATTCTCGCCATGCACGCCGAGAGCTGCTGCTCTGTGTACCCCGTCTTCTGGACCATATCAGCGGTCCAGCAGTCCTCGTCGACCCCCGATCCGGCGAGATAGCGGGCGAGGCAAGCAGCCGCCGCTGCTCGCTCGGACGGGTAGAACTTGAGAACCGAAGCATCGACCAGAGCCAAGTCAAGAAGGTAGTTGGCAAGGTGAAAGTCAACCTACATTTGAGAACATGAAAATAGACATGTACCGTCAATCAAAATGTCATTTTCATCATTGGGATTCTCCAGAGACCCACTTGTGAGCAATTATTGAATGTTAGAATAACAAACTATTACAAATTCGTACGTAAAACCTTGGACAATAATGGACAGTTTCGGCAAACAGAAAATCCGCTAGCGTATCACGTATCTGTATCTTTTTTTCGGCGATGACGTCACACTTTAAGCTGCCTTGTCAAACGTAATGTGGAGAAGTTTCACGGACGGCGACGTATGGAATCAACTTGGTACGGAATCGGTACGTATGAAGTTTCGGTTTTGCACACCACATTAATAACTAGTAGGCCTACCAAATAAGTTCCTAAAAACAAAAATTCTTACTTTCGCCATACTTGTTGTGTCGCGTTTTTTGTTTGTTTGTTTTTTTGTTTTGTTTTTTTTTGCTTTGTTTTGTTTTTGTTTTTTTATAACAATGTCTTGGAGTTAAATTTGGGTTAATAAATTTAGTTTTTAAAGAAATCAGCGCCACCGATGTTGCTACGTTGCTGGGTGCATCATCACGTACGGACGTGCGAGTCATGCCGAAACTAAATTTGAAACCTTACAGGCCTTACGGACACGAACAAATTAACTTGGATGCCAAAACTGTCTAAAAAGGAAAATGCTTACGCACTAGCTACTTTTTAAGAGCACTTACAACATTATTTCAATATAGTGAGAACGGACACTATTTTGCTTTACCTGTTGGTCATCCGTATCCACCCTCAGGAACGTCTCCAAAAATGCCATTGGCGTGGGGCTGAAGAGGTCAAACTGCAAGGCATGAAGGATTTGTCTCTCCATCAGCAACACGTCTTTGTGGGCGTAGGTGTAGTCCGTCAGCATGCAAAGTACCTCCACCTGAGCACATAGGAAAGTCAAGAGGTAGTATCATGTGGTAACTTGTAGGTGGGGAGGGGACATTTATGGGAGGGGTTGTGGTTTGTCATTTTTAAAAACATGAATCCAGTTACATCATTTTTAATAGTTAGGACAAAATATGGGCAGTAAACTAGGCTGACTATATATTCAGAATGAAAAACATCTGAAGGTACCATACGAATACATAATTATACCATGATTATCACAAAATAAGGAGGCGCACGTCAGTTTTTGTATGCACTCTTTAAAGAAGAGATATATCGTTTGAAAAAGGCTTCAGAAAACGTTTCAATGTATATAGCGAATGAAACGAGACCACATTTCTCTGGCCGAATACAGCAAACCTAATGGTCATCAAAAAAGAGAAGTAAAAGGGAAAAGGGAAGTAAAAGATGACTTTCAATTTCTGACAATGCATATATTCCTCCCCCCCCAAAAAAAATGTGCCTCTAGTAATGAGATTTATGAGTCGTCCAGCTACAAATTTTAAATAGTTTGGTACATATGAAGCAAGATATGAGAGGCAGAGAAATTCCCCCACACTTTGTGTTGGTCATTGTTTCACTGGAATCTGAGACGTCTAGGGGGGATGTGTTAGATAACAATAGTCTCGAGTCTGAATAGCGATTGGACTTGTTGCAGGGTACCCCTCTGTCTCATTTCTTGCTGGATATCGATTGGTGTTTTGGCGCTCGACCCTTAGCCTGAACCTTATAAGACTAAACAAATAAGTGCACTGAGAACTGAAGGTTCACAAGTATAGGCCTATTTGGCCTCACTCTTTGTCTAATTACCCCCAAAAGATTCGGGGACTGGTATAGAAGACAAAACCATATCTTTCGGTCAGAAATGCGTGGGCTTAGAATGGAGAGGCGAGAAAGGGCACTACTTTATCGACAGCCGGTATTAACTGGTGTACCTCGGGTGCGAATCGTTCCTCGTATTTGCTCGCCACAAACAGGCACGTCACGCCAAGTAGCTGGAGAAGGTTCAGACCGATGGGCTGCTGAGACAGGAAGCGGTCCATCAGCATCACGGTCAGGTGGAGGGTCTCTGCAGAGAGCTCGAGGTGAACCTGAGTGCGAGGTGCATAAACAGGTGGGGCTTAAATTTAGTGTTTTTGTTCCCTGGCTTCAAATTGGCAGGGCTGGCCTCCACCTAGGCATTCTCAACAGAGGCTTTTGCGATTTTTTTGTTGTTACACAAGCGTAGCAGTTTCCACCACCGAAATGTAAACGGTACACTATAAACTTCTTCGGGTCATGATACTTGGAATCACCACCTCCTTTTTATTTTTTTAGTATGATATTTTAAATGGCAGGATCGGGGCGGTGTCTTAAAAGACAAGTGAAACAGGCAAAATACCTGAACCTGGACCAGCCAGTTGACGAGGACTGCTCTGGTATTAGGGGTCACAGCGGGCCCCGTCAAGTAGCCGTTTGGTATCACGCACTTGTACTCTCTGCTCTGTGAAATATAAACCAGCAAGAGACTCTCCAAAATAAGACCAGACCTCATTCGTGGAAATGTAAGTGTTCCATCTTTCTCTCTTATCTTGCAATGGCGTGTTCTTCAAGTGGCCCATGCAGCACAGTACGACAATTTGGGAAAGATGAGGTATCTCAAAAGTCGAATGCTGTTAAACTCGGTCATGACTTCGCTTTCGGTACGAGACCGTCATCAGATTTATTAATTCTTGAGTCAGCAGACTGTAAGATTTTGAAGGGAATTGTTTTCCCTTGTCCATTTTTTTCTAAGAATAGATGGAAAAAGACGTGACCTGCTGTGCGCCCTCCACATTTTTTATTCGTTTGTACGTTCTTGATATACATGTACATGTACTTGTATGTAATGTACATGTATATTATAATGCAACTGCATGGAGGGGCGTCACTGTTTAATGGGCTTTGAGCATAGCACTGGTCCATATAAAGTTCCAAGAAGTGAATTATATATTTATAAGTTCGTTGACAAAGGATGGCACTACAGGGCTTACTATAGGTTGCCGGTTTCGTCTATACAGATTTTATTTACCCGCAGGTATCTGTAGATTTCTTCGGAGTACTCAGACGTAATTCGGGGATCATTCTTTTGCTCCACCTCAGGGTTTGAGAGTTCCTTCGGGGGCGAGGTGTCCTCCATGGAGGCCAATTCTTCCTTGAGTGCGCTGAATTCCATCGGTTCCACTGAAACATATGGAACAACAGACATTTTTGGGTGGAGTGTCGTGAAACTGATGTAATAATGATGTAGAGAATATAAAACTGATGTAATTTGAGGCCAAGCTTAATCAATATATTGGTGCCTCGTTTTTCCGTCTTGTTTTCCCGTCTCCTTTTCCCGGTTTTGCGTCAGAAGTGGTCCAAAACTTTTTTCTCCAGGGAAAAGATAAAAGCAAAAGCTCTTGATGGGCGCGTAAACTCACCAAGGTTTCGTCTTCCCGATGGAAAAAAGTATAATTTTTTTCTCGTTATGGGTCCAGTTATATGCAGACACTGTATCCTTCATTTGATTTTGCAATTCTAATGTATTTTAACATTGTCAAAACTGCACAATCAGATGAACCCCGTTTCCTTCTGAACTCCCCATTTATATTTGCTGTTTTTGATGACTGTCCAATACGGAATTAAAACAAAAACACTGATTGACATAAATAGGTTATAGATTGTAAATATTTTGCATTTATAACCCATAACCTATTTTGTGTCTGTAAGTGTTTTTGTTTAGGGCCTAATTATGTATTGGACCGTCATCAAAATGAGCCGGTATAAGCGGGAATTTGGATGGAAACGGGGTTCATAGGTTCAAAGATTATAGAGTAAAATATTTGTGCTCATGACAAATTGTGATGGTCCGATGTTGCTTTTTCCCCTTATTTGGCTTAAAAAATGATCATCTCGTTGCATTCTGACACTATGCACCCCCCTTGCTGAGGTAGTGCATTGACCCGGTAATATAAGGATGTTAGGGTATCGTTTTGATCAGACACACAAAAATAAAGACGGAGGAAGGCCTATATGATGACCTCCTTATGCTCAAAATAGCCCTTACCATCTTCCGCAATATGGAGTCCGAATGGAGGCATACTACACTCTTGCCCCGCCGGTTCATAGCAATCTTGGAGCACGTCTTGAATGCTGCCTCTCTCCCCTTGTCGTACGTATGGTTCCGCTCCTCTGGGGTCGTTTTTCAGCTTTCGTAAGTTGCTGGTACCTTCCTGTCTTTGGTTAATCTCGCCGGCACACGGAGCAGCGTTTTCTGACCACGGTTTGATGCCCAAGGCTTTGGTGCCTCCGAAGGAGGACTGCCCGGTCCTCCGTAGCTTTGCATAGCCAGCTGGGAGATTGCTTATGTCTCGGAACACACGATGCTTATAAGATCAACAAATTACAGGTTTGTACATACCTTAACTGAAATTAATTTGACACTGAAACAGCAACAGGAATATTCGATGGCCTTTTATACCGTATAGCTTCCCAAGCATGTTTGAATGTTTTACTGTATTTTTGTTTTCCTATTCGATTGGCCGTTTGGCATAAATTTTGTCTTCATTGAAGAGAATTACTCACCATTCCCCAATCCATTTTATTTCTATTCCGTGTATAAAGCAAATGACTTGAGCTCAACATTTCCAATACAACCATACTGAAACCTGCACTCTCAGTGATACCATTCACATGTCTGTGCCTCTGATATTAGTTTTAGAGTAGACCTATATGTCACCTGCACAGCTTACTTTTAAGGGATTTTACATAGGGTTTACCTCTGATTCATAATGAATTTGTCCGCAAGTCTTAACCGGCGATGCTGTAGCACCTCTGATCGCAGCTGCAGTACCTGCCGGTCTCCAAGCCGCCAGAATACGCGACATGATGCCGGTAGCCAAGTTAACAAGATTGTCTACCAAAGTTGAATTGCAAGACTGCGAATGTGTTGTGAGGTGACCTTTCGTATTTATACCTGCGCTGTGTCATTCAAATCAGTGGCCGAAAAAAAAACGAAGGGCTTACACTCAGGGACATTTGATTCGCATGCAGTCCATGATCACAACACCTGGAGAAATTCCTGCAAAACAATGGGACGTTACAGAAGATAACAAAACGCACTCTTTAATAAGTCATTACCTGTATACCGTTTGGACAGGACGCACTGCCTTTTTGCCAACATTGTATGGTTTCTAGCAATATTGCTGCATTTTTATCGAGAATATTAATTAAAATTGATTAAAGTTCTAACCTTTTCTCAGTGTCAAGCTTTAAAACAACTAAATCACATAAACAAAATTAATAACCCTGCTAATAATTTAGTACTAGTTTCAATTTACAGTCTTTTATTAGTAATATACAAGGAATGGAATGGATACATGTAGGGGTCATAGTTTGGAGGACTTCACTGCAGGGGAGTTTTTTTCGGAAATCAAAAACACAGGGAATGGAAAAATTCTGTGATGCCTTCAAAATATAAGAATAATATCTATCCGCACATATACATGCATGCAATTGTCGAATGGAAAGACTAGCGCTGCTGGGAACAGACCGAACAGTGCAGCCGGCGTGCTGGTCGAGTTGCCCGAATCCCCCTCTCCCGCCAAAACAAGACAGGCCTATACCTATGTCAACATTCATGTCGATGAAAGATCAGCACCGTATCACACCCCATTGTCGACGGTGTACCAGTTCCCCGCTTAATCGTCTGCAGCTTTGCTTCCGATTCAAGAGAATAGTCCTCTTTTGATGTAAAGCTTGTGTGAAATGTGGCTTTTGTTGATGACTTAATGTCTCTTAAAATGCAAACTGTTTCTAAAAATATTAAGGTCCCTATCATTATTATATAAAAGAAACTAGCACTTTTTACAGGGCTCTTTTTTTTCGGACTTTTTCTCTGACGTCTTGTCCAGCATCAAAACCATGTTTTTTCTATTTCAAACGTAGCAAATGGCTGTCACAGAAGGGTCTATATTATTGATTTCAGTGCACAAAAAAGCGTGCATCCTTTGCGGATACTGCAAATAATCGCACACATCTCCTTAACTATATTACGTATGATCTTTGCATTGAAGCGTTCACAGCAACACCCACTCTTACATTTGTATCCTTGTGGGGAATTAAGTTTTTTCTCGTATTGTAAAAAATTACTGAGCGGAGCACAAATTTCTCAATTGCTTGCATGTGGCCCTGAATCATTTTCCTTGACTGAAATTTGTGTCCCTTAGATAAAACACATCATGTTTGACAAGTAAGTACACTTTAAAAATTCCTTACTTTTGAGTCAATTCCAAATATCAGTTTCGTGAAATGAAGCACAACCAATGTTCCTTATGGTGTACTTCCTATCGGCGGTAGGCAAGGCACATCTCATAACGACTTATAAATATGAGTGGACAAAATCCGCCCTAATTATTATGAGAACCAGGTTTCTCAGGATTATTGTGGAGAACAGAATACGGCAATAAAGTTATAAGCAATGGCTGATCCATATAAACCAAATTGGGGGAAATCATTCATTGGGAGGCCAAAATATTGAGTGTAACATCAAACAACCCCATAGAAAATATACAATGGGGGAACTGGAGAACCGTAACCGATCCTGGGACTGTTTTAAGAATCGAGAAGGTTTATAATAATTTATTGACAAACATGGAACACAATCGTGCAGACCTTTGATCTTTGAGCGGAAAATTATTCTAACCATCAGTGAGGTAGGACAAACTTCGCCTGCCGCATACGCAATGCGCGAACACCATCTGTAGTCTTTATGTACGACGTTACTAGTATAATCCTCATTTATGTGTTTACTGACAACGTTAAAAAGTGCGCGATTTGTTGCCGTGAAGCATCTTGTAATACGACCACTCATCTCCACCGTCCTTTGGCTGTATTAGTGGAACCAGACTACATATTTCTGGACAAGTCGTGCATTTTGTGTTTACGTTCAGACAGGTCCCAAGCCAGTTTGTTTAGGAAGGGGTCAGAACGGTGAAGGGGCTCGTCAAATTTTGCTCTTTTCATTGGTTGATTTGTGATGGTGTGTGGCCGCAAATCGTATGATCGCACAGGAAATTTTTAACTACGTAAACGGTAAAGTCATCCATTTTGAATGAAAAATGTTAGTGTTAATGCCCCTGGTATGGAGAATGTGTTCTTATTCCTCCATGATATACCGTATAAATTAAACTTACAACTTGCAGGCTTTGTACGGGCATGATCGGAATTGCAATGAGTATGACGCAAACATTTACTAAGCCTACATCATTTGTACATGACTTGTCAGCATGATCAGCCCGTATATAGTGACGAGTGCAGACGGCCAACGTGACCAACGATCACGTTACTGAGATAAAGATCTAGGCCTAAATTCAAGTTATTGTCAGGATTGTGTCATCAGGCATATGTCAGGTCATGTGAGAAAATGCACAAGAATGTACGGATATCCGTGGACTGACACGAAGCCCACAACTAAATACTGTACGTGACTACTGTTTGGAGAAGGTTCAGTATTTTCCACCATTGTCACTATGGTTGTAGTTGTACATTCTCTTGGTGTCAGTGTTCTGTACTTAGGTATGTGGTAGTGTTAGCGTGATAAACATCTGCATACAATGTATTTGTAGGCAGATGTTGTGGTGGTCCATATGCGTACATGTAGCTTGGTAGGAAACCCAGCACGTAGCACAGGATGAATCTCTCCAAGCTATGAGTGCCTTGTTAGAGCCTGCTGTCCAAGCTAGTCATGCTTGTTGCTAATATTATTGGACATGATCTGTCAATCTGCACAATCTTTGGTTGATCTGCACTGATAGCATTGGGATGGATGATCCTGTTGTCTGTGGGAAATCTTGAAATTTAATTTGCCATTTCAAAAAAATCTTCCATGACCCGGGATGGCTAACCAGAAGGATCAACAGATGAGGCCACAAGATGATCAACGGCACAGTGCAGTGATCAGCCATTCATGCAGACATGGCAGATTTAGCACTCCTTCCCATCAAGCAATTAAATGATTTCTTTTATAAAATATAGGTTGAAAACCAGTATACCACCACCATGTCCATGCCTGCCTTTTAAATCAAAAATGAGAATCTGAAAGAAACTATTTTAATGATAAAAGTTCAATTTTTATAACTTACAGCAAAATTGTGTGTAATAGAGACAGTTATCTTGTCAACTTAAATAGGTAGCCAGGAAGCTGTAAATTTATTGGGCATTGATGATTTTTTCCAGTGAATTTCGGTGCTGTTTAGACGGACACAGTTGAAGGTGAGTTTACTGCTACCATGGCCAATATTGCTACCGTGCTCAATCGTGTCGTACACGCCACCACTTGCATTACAACGGTGGCCAGCAGAACTGCTTTGACTGGTACTTCTGGACTCATCAGCGGTTTGAAGCGGCAATGTCTCAGGTTACAGTCTGATGTCTCCAAGTTGTCAAAGCGGCACGGCTCAAGCTATGTGACCAGACAAAATATCGGTGTGGTCGGTGTGCCTATCCATGAAGGGCAGGTGGGTGGTATTTGAATTTTAGTCGAGGTGAAGGGGAGTAATGTCTGTGACTGTATAGTCATCAGATCCCCAATTTTGCCACCCATTATCAAGTCTCACAGGTTATCCAGTAAGTGGCGGAATAAGGGACCTGGTGACTATATGGTCATGGAAGTTATACTGATGAATGGCTGCTGTCTGAAAATGTTAGACTTGGCATAGCCTTTGATCAAGGCGCCTGTGGCAAAATGAGAAGTCACTCACTCAGCTGCAGGAGACCAGTATAAGCACCAAATCAACGCACGAAGAAAAACTACAAACCACAAGCATGCCCGAAATTAACCATGCATGCGCGCATGCAGTAGCCGAACTGTATGTGTCATGGACTGTGCAAGCCTTCGCAAGCGGGGCGTGCATGCACTTCATCGTGTAGTCTTTCTTGGTGCGTTGTATTGGTTTGATGCTTAATCTAGTCTCCGCCAGCTCCTCGCTCTTGAGCGACTATCCATTTCACCGCGGCTGCCTTGATCAAAGGCTAGACTTGGTACAGGGGATCGCCAGCTACATTGTATAACGAACACTGTTTGCTTTACTTGTATACGAATGATGAATGTTTAAAAGTGCAGTGGTAAAAAAAATTTCATGAAGTGACAGATGAAATGTTCCATACCATGAGGCGAAGCCAAGTGGACCGAAACATTTCATCTGTCACCGTATGGAATGCTCCTGATCATTGCTTGAATGTGAAACATTCATTGTTTGTTGAATACAATACCTGCATAAATCCTTAAATTCTGTTTGAAGAATAAATAGGTTCCGCTCACGTATTCAGATTCATAAAACAAATTGATGTCCGAAGCGCAAGCCACTGTACCTTGCAATGTTAGACTGGTTTCCGTCCCTACATTATTTTCCCCTTTCTAACTGGTAATGAGATTAATGAAAAAAGGGCGGGAACAAGTCAAGTGAATAAAGTTCTATTCAACAGGTACTATTGAATGGAACAAATAATTCAATGACATGTGATCAACTCTCCACCAATCAGATGACGAGATTTATGCAAGTATTATACAACAGTGGATATTTCAGGCCTTACTCAAGCTTCATTTATACTGAACCAAAAGAACCACATCAGCCTCCTGCAATTAAATATTAAAGTTTCCTTTGTTTCCAACAATGTGTTTTGTTTGAAGTGGACTTTTTTCTTGCTTAAAGTTGCACTGGCCATTTTCAAATTGTAACGTGCTTAGCATTACATGCTTAAAACAAAGCTAACTACATTTATTTACCATGTACTGGGTGAGTTAGTCATGAGCTTTTCCATTGGATTTGAAATTTAAACAACACTAGTTTGCCATGTCCATTATGGCACTGTGATGCATTTTTTTGTCATTTTTTGGGTGCCAAATAGCGTGAAAAGTCTTGCAGACAAGTTAAACTTACAAGGAGACAAGAAAAATCCAATCTTTTTTGTGTCATCAATTTATTATGTAATGAAGCAATCCAGTAAATGGACTTTTTCAGTAAAGGGACTTTTTCAGGTCTGCACGTAGTTATTCCCTTTGTCCTTGCAGAAGAACATGGGTGTAATGTATGGACCATCAGTTATCAGGGAAGCTGGTCTGATGGCACGATTTAAACAGATGGGTGAGTTCCTTGTCGAAAAGTAGGTAGCACTGGTGGCCAGTCTGTAAAATCTTCGACTCACCACAATGTTCCCAGTTTCAATTCCTGGCCTGAGCCATAAGTTCGTTGTCTCCTGTGCCACGAGGGTTTTTCACTAGGTTCCTTAATTTTCCTCCCGCCACTTAAAAATCTACACTCATGATCTCTGGCTGTGCTCTGTGGGTAGATTTGGGTCATTGGCCGCTGCCTGAGGCACCCTTGTATGCCTTCAGCCGGACCACGTTGTAGTTTAATGTCTTTTTGTACAGCTCATTTGAACATAATTTGTATGAAATTTTTGCTTTATAAATGAATAAATGATAATCATTATCATACTAGTTTGGTGAAATGACACTGCCATTTCCTGTTTCAAATTTCAGTGTGAACTGTCACAGCACAGAGGCATAATCTGTGACCTCAAGAGATCTTGGCTTTCCAGTCACAATTTTACAAAATTCCAGTCACAAAATTGAAATGACGTTTACCATGTTTACAGATAAACAATTTTGTGTTTGATATATCAGCAAAGGTTTATTTGAAGGTCAGCCTTGCATAGGGTTTGTCATCTGTGAGTTATGCTGTGGTTTGTGAACTAACACAGTTCCAGTGGAATTTTAGGAGAGGGGAAATCATGTTGTACCCTTGCGTTCGGGAATGCCCAGAAAAACACACAAGACATCAACTAACTTTGGTGAAGGCTCTGCTTAAGTCGTGAATGCTGACAATATTGGGGGTGTGTGGCAAACCAAAGGAAGTGCACAGCAATATCCCTCCTACATTTCAAGGTCCAATAAACGGCATTTCCCTGTCTTATGTACATTGACATGGAAAGTGGTTATTCACTGTTTTGTCCCATAATTCATCAGTTTTTCTCCCCCTCTCTGTGTGTGCACCAGGTTTAGAAGTAGTAGACCATGGTGATCTGAAATATGAGTCTGTCCAAGAAGACAAGGTACAGACAGGTGTATTGAAGAGTTGCAGGACGCTTGGCAGAGCATTACACAAGGTACATGTATGCCTTATCCAGGGTGTATATATGCAATCCAACTATAGTGGATTGGTTTGTTAAAGTTCTGGGGCCAATTTCGTAGAGCTGCTTAAGCACAAAATATCCTCCCTGTGATGTACATTGTTTTGGGATTGTATTTTGCTGTTGTTTTGGTTAGCATGACTATCAGATAGAGTTTGAGCTGGTAACCTTTGTTTATTAAGCAATGTTTTTTTCCTGCTTAAGCAAATTTTGTGCTTAAGCAGTTCTATGAAATTGGCCCAAAAGCTAAAATGCTCTATTATGGGCGCATCTGCAAAGTTAGTTTATAAGTGTTCCATTGATGGCCTACTTGGATCTCTGAGTTTCACAGATGGGTGAGCAGCATTGTTTTCCCCAATGCAATCTGGGAGTTACTTTAAATTTTCCACAATTACACCCAGTTACCAACTCAGATGTGATATATGAAGATATGAATAATTTGGAAGTAGAGGTCATGCCTTTTCACTGCCAACAGGCCAAATTGTTAGTCCTAATGTAAACAAATACATTTACATTTACATGTAATTTAAAGTGATTGCCACCTGTACAGACTTCTTGGACTTTGTGTATGTGTCCAAAACACATGGGGGATTAGCATGTTGAAATGTCAGCTGCAGTTGATATGAGGTACTCTTTTAACCTGTCAGACATCCGGTTTTAAGTGGAATGCATGTAGTGAATACGTGTACTTTTACAGCATTCCCATGGCCAACCTCTTAGCCCCCAAGTTTCTCATGATGACTTTGTTTTTCCAGCTTTCAGACACTGTCTGCAGCATCATGCTGAAGCATGATCAAGCTTGCGTGGCGTTGGGCGGGGATCACAGTCTCACGATAGGCTCGCTGCACGGGCATGCCCAGGCAGAGCCCGACATGTGCGTGGTGTGGGTCGACGCCCATGCTGACATCAACCTGCCACAGTGCTCCCCCTCGGGCAATCTCCACGGAATGGTGCTGTCATTTCTAGTGCATGAGTTAAGGGACTATATGCCGACTTTAGCGGGTTTTGAGTGGGTCAAGCCATGTATGTCAGTTAAGGATATCGCTTATATTGGGATTCGAGACTTGGATGAGTGTGAAAGGTGAGATAAACATGTAATAGGAAAGTAGCCACATTGAACCTATTAGGGTAGAATCGTATCAGTGTAGTTTGTAAAATAATGACCAATTACATGTACATGATATACAAAATAGACGCGGGAAGTACAAAATCTAAGACCAAACTCAATTTATGATATTTTATAGGTTTGGCTAAGGGGCCAAGGCTAACTTGCAAAACAGCAATAGGTCAATACATATCAGCCTTTCCCTAGCGCTCGTTTGGACCAAACCTAATAAGAAATGCTGTTGTATGCACGTTACGCCACTTATAAAGGGTCTAAAAAAGATTTGAAAACAGAAAAAAAGTACATGTAGCTTTTCAGATGTCTGTTTGAACCACAAGTTTTGCCCTTCACCAGTTTTGATGCTTCATACTTAGAGCTCTTGTCTGAAACCTTGGGAGGGAAATGTTCCACTCTCACATTCAGTGAGATTCAGGCTTCGTGTTTTATTTTGTCACATTCCACATAAATGACCAAGTTTTAAATAGATGTGCTGGTTTATATATGGAAGTAAAGCAGTTTCAACCCACAGGCTTAAATCGTCTGTTACATCTTCCATTGCCTTACATAGAATTGCATTAAGTACAAAATATAGAAAGCTATCAAAGTGGTCTGTATTACAGTGGTTTCCTTTCTTTGCTAAAAACCCCACAAAAAAAACAAAAATTCTGTCCCAAGCCACTGCAAATCATTGGGCCATTGTTATCTCCTATTTCTTTAGTATGAAATGACTTTGAATATTTGCATTCCCTCCTGGATGGGGTGCCACTCCATGGCAGGTTGCTCTCAAGCTAATAATGCCAGTAACCATGTATACCTCTGGGTGGAGAGAGGCAGTAGGGTGCCGGTACTCGACTTAGCTATAGCCAAAGCTTATGGCCAGCAACTGGATATGAACCTTCCTATCCTCTGGTCTTGAGCAACAAACCCCAATCACCAGGCCATAGTCTCCCACCAGTCACCAAATGAAGGAACTTAGCTTCTGCGAAGTACATGTAATGATGAAGCTTATTTTTCCATTTGAAACACTTATACATGTACATGAATCTCTTCCTCCAGTCTTAGAACCGTCATGTTCCTTTTCATTGACAGTTACATTATGACGCAAAAGGGAATCACATGCTTCACCATGCATGACGTGGAGAAGATAGGTGTGGCAGAGACGCTAAGTCGCTCCTTAGACAAAATCAACCCAAAGTGAGCACACACTGCATATACTTCAGCCTTCATTAAGATGCTGGTGTATTGGAAATGCACCAAGAAAGTGTGCCAACTTGGCCGTCTGTGTGTGGACCTAAGAACGAAACATGTCCACGTACGTACCTGTACAGTGTAGCAGGGTGTGCGAACCTTGTGCGGACTAAGCCAGATCCAGGCAAGGTTTTCCCCTCTCCAAAATACAGGCTTAGAGACATTTTAGAGTCAGGGTTATTCACAGCAAAAAGAAGGGGAAACATCAACAAAAATCCAGCCCAAGACAGAGCTCTCGGTTCGCGCAGAATGAGTAGTCACCAATTTTTTTAACTGTACTAGAAGAAATGAATTTCCACATTAAGTGTGCAATGTAAACATTGATGCTTTGATAGTACAATGTTGTCATGCACTTTATCAATGGAACATAAATTCCAAGAAATATCTAATATGTTTTTGTTTTTTTCAAAAGAAAAGTCTTTTGCATGTCCGGTAGTTGTCACATTTTCTAGATAAACTGTTCTTGAATATTTAACAATTTGGATGTTTCTCTCTGTCCAAAGGGGGGATCGACCAGTCCATTTAAGCTTTGATATTGACTCATTTGACCCCTATGTCGCTCCGAGTACAGGAACGCCATGTGAGTACACATAAGTACTTCTCTTGTACATAAATGACTTTGAGGATTGTTTTTGTGTGCTGAGCAGCCTGATGCCATGTGCATGCATCCTGCCTGTAACTAAAGGACAAGTTGACTCTATAGTCAACTATGCTTGTTGCTCTAATTTGCCCCTAGTAGAGTGTAAATAACTGGCCCTATAACATTTTGTCTGCCTAGAAAAACAGCTAGCTTGAAGCTTCTGTTACACTATGAGTCTATGACCATTACGCTACACTGAAAGCTTAGGATTTTTTATGACATTGTCTGCAGTGGTATTACCTTTGCTTTTAGGACTTTGATGCTGCATGACCAAATCACACGATTTTGTAAACATTTCAAAAATGGCCCATATATGTCACAAATGAGCCACCAGATAGGGTTTTCTAAAGTCTCTTCTTCTTCTTCACCTCTGACATGGATATCTTTGGAAGGTCTTTGATGTTTGGCCACAGTGGAAATTTATATACGGGTAATTCCAGAAATTAGGGGTCCATTTTTTTCTTTTTGTGTCCCTATCACGTCTGACATATGTGATTTTGTACGTTCAGAACACATTTTCTAATTTCCAAGAGTGATGAATTAATCAAAAATTACCTGCCGAACAAATAGTAATAGTTTGAAATCAATTCTGGTGATATTTCCATGTCAAATAATAAAGGTCAGATGTAACAGGGACACAAAAAAGTCACCCTATTGGACCCCTATTTTCTGGAATTACCCGTACAGTAAATCCTTGGGCTGATAGCAGGGCAGTTCAGTGCTTGCCCAGTAAAATATTATTTCTTGTAGAGCAAGAATTCCAGTGAAGTTTGGGGAGATCAGATGAAGTTATATTCGGAGACAAAGCTGAGATATGGAAAAATCACTGACAGCATGAACAATAACTCCTGGTTTTTCTTACATGACCCACCATTTCAAACCAGGCTGAAGGCTTAAAGTGTAGCTGCAAGGACTTTTGTTAAAAACAATTTTTCTGTAACTCTTTATTCTTCTTTAATGTGTGAAAACTCGTTTTACTTGCCTTTTTGCTAAATGCATTGAAAAGTGCACTTATTAAACGCTTAAAATTATCCATGCTTTCCTGATAAGAGAGGGCGCTGTTGCTGTTATGTCATCCAGGGAAGACACAGTTCAGTGCATAGGCTTTTCTATTGGAAGTTGTCAATTCAGAATTTACTTATTAAAAACATTTCTGAGAAAGGTATTGACATTTGGTAATTGCTGTGCCCATGAACAGCAATGAATAAGCAAAAAAGTCCAGCAAAATCTACAAAAATGCAGGACTTTTTGTGCACAAACCAATGTAACATTTAGTCATTCTTCTTGGGATGACATCACAGTTTTGCCATGAGTATGGAAATACTCCTCAGCATAAAACCAAAAAGGCAGTAAAATACCCATTGAAATAGTGAAACAAAAATTGCAAATTAGGTTAACTGAGACACAAAGAGGGTTTGTATTGAGACAAAATGATTGCAGCCACAATTATCTATTAGCTATTATCTGGAAAATGATACACACAAAAAAACCAGTGCAAATTTCACAACTTTCACATATAACTACCAAAAGCTAGTTGCCCATAACTGCCAAACTATACACCAAATTAAAATTAACTCTAGGGAGAGGCATTTTCACACATTAGAATTACCTGCATCAGTCAGACTTTTAGAATGTTGGGTCACATAGATGTCATGAAGAAATGTAGCATGCCAGTGTGATTTGATTGAAGTTCTTTTCCAATACTTCACTTTCCTATCTGTTTCGAAAAGTAACCCAGAATGCTAAAATGCAATGTATTCAACATTGTCTTCACTTAATCCGTTGTCAAATATTTCAACAGGTTCCGGTGGTCTAACGTACAGGGAAGGACTGTACATTGCTGAAGAGTTGGGAAAAACAGGTAGGCCTATGTGATAAATATTTCTCGAACATGTAAAATAATTGTATAAGTGCAGTTTGTGGAACCACAACTTCTTGCTTTTTAAATGGTTGTGCAAGCTTGTCAGGTTTGACTATGCAAGCGCTAGAAATCAATGACCTTATGTGCAACGTTCCATCTTCAAAAATCGTCCACAAGAGCATCTACTGTCGTAGACTAGCCCAAGTGGCACTGTGACCACCCCTGTAAGTGCCATGCGGACGCCCATGCCGACCACCCTTCTGCCAACTTTTCAACAGAGCATTGTGATGCCAACTGCTGTCACTGAGCCTTGGAGAGCTCAGTGGCTGAATGCTAAGATATCAACACTAACTAGAGGTCATGGCTTAATAAATCAAGTCCTATCCAAAAAAGGCAGCTGGTGTAATTTGTAAAGGTCTCTCAGTCTTACATGAGGGCTTAGTACTCCCAGACTGATAAGGGGGACTTTGCTGAGGTCGGGAACATGTTGAAACCTTCACTTGAGGGTAAGCTTAACTTTATGGTACTAATATAGATTCACATACTGTACTTTGTGGTTCCCATGGCATGCATTGCGATTAATCTTGAGACCCATACGAAGTTTTCCAACCAGGTTCTTGCATGCGTTTGGCGTACACGCAAAGACCATATATTCCAGATTAAATTCATTGTATGCACTCAAAGTGCCTCGCGTCAAATGCGCATTAGTTCGTGCTTCTATGCCGTGAGTTTGTACCAATGGACTTTCAGTTTCATTTAGAAACACGCCCTCTTTTGTTCCCGCTCAGAGCGGGTACCTCCTCATACCATTTGTGTTCTTGTTTTCTCCTTCCTACTTGTACACAATAAGCCTTTTGTGATTTAAATTTGAATAAAATCTGGTACACTGAGCTATCTGATTGCACTTAAACATAACAATTTGAATTCCCGAGACTAAAGACACTGTTGCAGTACCATGTGATTTTGGGGTAAGGTTTTGCATACCGACTGCCATCTCTGGAGTGGACCAGTTCCTTTGTACCCTTCTTATCCATTGAAAACAGTGTATTGGTGCAAAGCGTCTCTTTTAAATAAGCAAAATTTTGCCCCGAATCACAGGTTATAGCAACAATGTCTTTAGTATAGAGAATTCAAATTGTTATGTTCATGTGAATCTAAAGAACTCAGTGTACCAAATTTTATTCAAATGTAACTTGCAAAAGGCTTATTGAAATGCCCCCCCCCCCGCATCCTTAAATAACACCTCACCCCTTCTGCAACAAAGCTAAGCACAGTGCCAGCAATTCTGCCCATTTACCCTCATCTTTCTGTGTGGCACCAATGCCCTCCCCTCAAGGTCTGGTGAACATGATTGACATGGTGGAAGTCAACCCGGAGCTGGGCTCCCACATTGAAGAGGAGAAGACGTCCAAAGCAGCTGTCAACATCATCTGCGCTGCGCTGGGAGAGACTCGAATGGGCTACGTGCCTCCTGACTACCAGCTCCCGAAGCCTTGATGATGGGATGGGTGGCCATCACAGCCAGCACAAGCAAGCATGCCTGGGACTGATCTTGGGTGAGAGGTAATAATGCCAATAATGTTCAAATCCAGAAACCTTCCATAGCACCTATACACGCTGCCATGTGAAATCTGAAATCCATTTACTTATTCTTCTTATAAACCACCAGCTTCATGCTGGTGCTGATCGTCACTAGTCTGTGCCCTATTAAAGCAATGTGCATTACAGTCCAGGAATCCACATGAATGTTTTTTTACAGAGTCCAAATTTCACACTCCTGTAGTTAATCAATGGAATTTTCATGGTGCTGTATCTGTTGTTACTTCACATTGTGAGTTGCAGCAAAAGGGTATTATACTAATTTTGATCTATAGCTGTACATATGCACGGGCACGTGTCTTACATTAGGTCTGTAGGTTTGGAATTTGACACCAGCTATTCAGTTCCTCCCAAGCCGATTATTGGTCGTGTGAAAGGTAATTGGCCGAAACTCCATGCAAGAATCACGGTGGTGGAGTACATTCTGTGAAACATACCAAACTGAGTATTATAATTTTTAAATTTTTAAATGAGATAATACAATGTTTTCTGTGAAAATTGTGGATATTGCAATGTTGCTGTCTTGTATTTATAAGATTTACTCAATTACTCAAGGAGTTGTCATGTTGCAAACCCACCTCTGGGATATTTTTGCTCCTTTATTGTGTGCTCTCTTACTGAATAAACAGGAATAGATGATCAACAGAGTGAATCAATCAAATTTCAATGAAAAAGTTAAACCTTTACTTGAGAAATTACGTTCATTGAAAGTTGAAGGTCGGTGAGTTCATTCAGCCAGTGGAAGGAGTTTGAAGTGTACACTTTTCATCATTTGGTAATGTTCAGATGTTTCTGTTCAAATTTGTCTTTACAACACCTGGCTCACAGATTGGCAAAGAGCATGTAAGTTGGTAGTCACTTTTTTCCCCCTACTTTTTTCTCTTTTTTTGCATTGCACTCCCCCAAAAGACTAGCATCACATCTATTTCCTAAAATATTTTACATGTATACCGAAGCGTACGCGTATGACTTCTAGATTTTCCAATCAAAGCAGTCAGTTCGGCATGGAAAAGAAAACTGGATGAAGAGAAACAGGGAAGAAACTATGCTATTGTCATGCCTTTTTGTTTTAAATTTCACTGATCCAGCCCCTGGGTGGTGCTAATTTTTGGAGTATTTAGATATTCAGTCGATAACCAAATATTTCAATTTACTTCCCAAATCGAATATTAGAAGATGATAATCATGTTACAAAATATTCTAAAAGCATATTTCACTTTTTCATGCGTTAACTTAAAGTTGGCTGAATGCATGTTTTCCATAGTTCTGCTTTGTGTTAATTAGGCACTAGTGAATATTCATCTTAAGGGAATTTTGAATATTTGAATATTCAATCATTTAAATGCACTCAGCTCTACCTTACACTGACTATTTGTTAAGAGTATAAAAATTGAGGGACTGCTGAAAACATTCACAAGACAATTTTTTTTTAATGGATATTTTGATATTCATGCGCAGTAAATATTTATGAATTTGTTTTCACACTGTAATTGGTTGCAGTTCCAATTTGAGAAATAAGCTTAAACATTGATAATATAATAACAGTTTAAACACAAGCAAGGTAAACCCCAGAAAATACATTACTTGGTATTGGTAAATGAATAAAACATTTAATAACCTATGATAAGAGATAAGATCCAAACTGACTCAGCCAAAACTGCCAGATTACTCGAACAAAATTATGTAAGTGGAAAGATCTGATGTGTTGAAGGCACAAAATTGGATGGCAACAATTGAAGTTGATGTCAAAACTTCAACCTAAAAAGTAGTTTTGGAATGCCGATAGAATGATACAGAAAACATTTTTTCCAATTTAGGTGAAAATTTACACCCTACAGCTGTAACTAAGGGCAAAACGAATCGGAGTAGTATTCACACACCTGAATAATATCAAGTTTTGATCTGGATTTCCTGTATTTAAGTATACAAAGCTAATATTTTTTATGTAGCTCAACTCTTTCACCACCCCCATCAAAATAGTTGGCCTCTGGTGGTGTGTGAAGTCAAGCAGAAGTGCATGTATCTGTAGTGTTTCTGTTTGTAGCCATTGCCTTCAAGTTAGTATATTTGCCATTGGCCACAATGGACAGGTACTTGGCGTTAAGAGGAACGAAAAGGTCCCTGTGTAAAATCCCGTCTGACTTCTCTGAACCTTATGCGTGCATGTGGGCCTACATGTGGGTGAACCCGTAAACGGGTATTGGATTGCATTTGCCGGAAGCCGCTTCACCATCCGTTGCCACGTTGGTATTGTGTTCATTCTGAAATTGGCTCGTCGCCCAGCGCCCGAACAGGGCGTTAGGAAGGGCTGATGGCCTTGCACAGATTTTAGTGAAGGAAGTACGTCACACGCGGTCACGGCTAATGACGCGCAGAGCATTGTGGTAAATTCTGCCAGGTGCGCCTTCCTCTCTGCTGAAAATATTCTCACTACACTTGATTAGTTCATTTAAAGTTGATCAAAAGAACCTAATATTTGAAATATATTGCCAAAAGACACGTGATCAGTGATACTTAGAAGATAAATTACCACAGTGTGATTGTACCAAAGCCATGTTTTCATAATATAAGCCGACATTTTGGCATGTGCCAAAGCATTATTATTGGCGAACCAACAATTTCAAATAACCTTATCTAACAGAAAGTGATAACCTTGCCGTCGGAGGTCGTGCTTATAGTAGCCAATCACAGTGCAAAGCCATCAGCCCTTCCCAGCGACGAGCGAAATTCTGAAACAGAAATAATTGAATCGAAAGTGCAAGGTGTTTGCAAGCGATGTTTGCATCTGTCAGCTTCCCGTAATGTGAAAGGAAAATCAGCTAAACTTTCCCGGAAGTGTTTGATATAACTTTAAATGCGTCGTGCATTAGCTGTTGTCTTAATCGGCGTTTTACTGCATTTAATTAAATGTATGCCTTTTTGTCTCGACAGCCAGTTTGTTATGTGGAGAAATGCTGATGGATGATGAAAATGTGATGTTTAGTTAAACACAGTTGTCAACCAAAAAGAATTTATTTCTATGAAATGTTAGTTTTATAATTTTCCTGAAATATTTCTCATAACATATATAAACTTATGGTGTGGGTCATAATCGTGACGCACACAGTCTTCTCACACAAAGGCTTACGTGCATGAACGCGTATTCCCCAAAACAGTAGGTATAGAATTTCAAAAATTCTGAACATTTATCATAACTTTAGAGGGGGACATTATCCCATTACAAACTAGTGTGTTAAAAGGGAATTAAATGTCACATGATTGTAGAAATAGACTATTATTTTGCAACTAACACACTTGCGTTTTGCAAATGAAATGTTTGTTATATAATAGACTATTAGAAGTAGTAGAAATAGACTATTATTTTGCAACTAACACACTTGCGTTTTGCTAATGAAATGTTTGTTATATACAGTTAAAACCTGGGAAGTTATATAACATTGTCTTTAGCCTTACGGAAATAGGAACTGTGTTTCCGTATATCAATCTATATACATGTAACTATCCCCACTGCAATACACTTTCCGTTTATTTTCTTGAAGTACATATATATTGTGTTTATTCAACCCTGTACTTCTTACCCATGTGTGATCAATCGAGCTGAAAAGCTGAATCATATTTTGACATTTCATATCCAATCGTTCCGTTGGCTCATGTTGGGGGTTTTAACTTACACAACAAGTTTTTAAGCAAATTAGATCAAGTGGCAGTTAAAATGGCAAGTCATGCTTTTGTTAGCATTTGACACGAACGTTGCACTTTTGGATGTAGTATGCGGCTGTATGCAAACTCATGCAATGAGAGATGGATTGAGCTTAGTATCCATACATCTACTGTATTTGGATTTGAAATCCTTTATCGTAAAAGTTACATGGATTAAACTGGGTTGTGTCATTTGAAATATTATCCAGTGGGCTGTCAGGTTTTCAATGTGTTGATTCCTTGTACGGTCCTAAAATGCTCGTTTGTAGTTCTTCCAGTTGTAAATATTTACCGTTTTTCTTTATTTCTGTGTTTATTTTTAAACGTTGATTTGGAACTTTTACTTTGATGGAGCCAAAAGCTATTTGCAGACGAATAATGGCACGAGATTATCTCACACTCAAGAAGACAGTAATGACGAAAGCTAGGGCTAGTTTTGTCCCGTTCGGACTACGGTTGAGAGTAACGCATGCATACACGTACGCATGAACAGTGGTTTCCTTCATAGAGGAAGGACACAGAAGGAGTTTGAACTGCCCGGGCAGTAACATCCGGCCAATTACCGCTTTCTGGCGTGTCTGGTATGTCCATAGCCAGAGCGCAGCGAACGCTTGCTACGCACCATCTGTTTCACGACCACGAAACCCCTTTGTACCCTATGATCGTCGCTGCAATTTGTCGATGGTAATTTGCATCCTTAAAACTTTATGTACTGAGGTATAGGAAATTGAATATTCATACCAAGTTGGTACTTGGTATGATCTCATGACAACATCAAATTTAATGCTTGCGCAGTTGCTTACATTATGCTATGTGCCCTAAATCTATACGTGCAGTTATTGCCCTTATTGAGCTCTTTCTTCTGGAGTTATTTTGGGAATATATAGCCCTGTTGTTTACAAGATTTTGTGTTTTGTTTGAATTATTTTTATTATGGCATTTGTACAAAAGCGTATTTTTTGAGATGTCACGATCACTCCCTGTGATGAAATAGCGCATTTTGTCCCTACTAAAGAACTAAGCTTTCGAGTAGTAGTGAACATTTTGTTGACCAGTCTTAGCCAAATTCGTACCAAGTCTTTGAACACTGATGCATTAGACGGAGGAGAATAAAAATTGCAAACTTTGCATGGATAATGGAACAGCGTATCAAACTTTTAAAAGTTTATTTACGGTGGCAACAGTAGGTCTAATATCAGGGATTTCTCTCTCTCTATTTCCTGGTTAAAGCAATAATTTGTATTTAATTGCAAGCAAAAAACTACAAGTATTGCTTGGACTGCCCGCTTGTCAGGCTAAGATGCAGACTGTAATCAGGCATTTTTGTAATGTTTTCTATTATTGGTCTGACTTGGCGGTGACCATCATTGAACACTTTGAAGTGCCTGAGTTGCAACTCCTGTGTCCTTCGTCTATGTTTCCATGTAGATGTACAGTACATGCATGGACCTATATGCATATATTATTTCCTAGCGTATAGCCATCTACATTCACTTCGGCCACGGGCCTTATTTGCAATAGAGTCCGCCCTTACCGGAGACTTCCTAGATGCGCAGTGATTGCGTGGTGAGATTCGTCTGCAGAACTGATAAAAGTTTAGGTTTGTCAAAAGCTTGTTCATCGCACAAAAGCAAGCACAGTAGAGATTCTATCTCTTGCTGGAGAACATATCATTTTATTGGTATTACGTGATCTAAAAATCGTACGCTATATGACTTTTATGTGCTTTTTAGCCGTGGTAATGTTCATGGGAAATCATTCATCATAGGCTCGTTTTATTGTAATTTTTAAAGTATTCTTTACGAGATTCCCTTGCCTGTCGTTTCGTAGTTTATTTGCTGAATCTTTGTACACGGTATCCTAAGCCAGACGGTGCCGGTAATGTAGTTTGAGCCCATAATAAAACAATAATTATCAGGCTCTAATCTTTCGTTATGCCTACTTAATTTGTCTCTTGATCATGCTACATATACATGTACTTACTAAACATTGAAGTCATGCGTATTTGTAGGCCTGTGTTTTATTTGAAAATTGCATTTGCAGTCCATTAAATGCCCAATTAATGTTCCCATTGTTCCTTGCATAATTATCATAGTATATTTTGCATGTTGCCACCTTGACCTATGTCCTGTAAAAATGCGAACGTATAGAACTGATAAGGGGGCCTATATCTGCCTTCAGCAGAAGCACCCCCTCATCGGTTGAAAAGAGCCATGTTGGTTGGGAGTGTTCAGTTTGCTGGTATCGACGCGCCCGGAACGCGTGCATTTCAGTGCAGTTCCGACCAAAGGAGCTGCCGTTGCTAGGAAAATGGAGAACGACAGCTGATAATGCCCTGATAATGCGGCTCACGGGCTTTAGTCGCGACCATTCCCCTGAGCCGGTCTTAAACGCACATTTAAGACCGGCCAAGCACATATTTATTCCCTTCTTTGTCCATTCACCAGACTGGCCTAGAAATAGTGTTGGCGGGTGGAGAGAAAACGAAAACCTCTTTTGCAGCGGCCAGCTTTCTTGGTTGATAGTCTCAACGCACCGCTAGTGCCATACCTCAGGCTTTCACATAGGCTTTCGTGTACAGGCAAACAGTCTCAGTTCAAGGAATACTCAAGTGGGACCGTGTCTTTTGATTTCTACCAGGAACCATGGAGGAATATAATTGCCTGTGGGCCAAGCTACATCAAACACAACGAGGTCTATTGAAGCGTGCGATACAGCATGTACCGTGCGCAGTGTACATGTACACTGTATATGCATCGTTCTGGCGATCACGTCATCCAATCAGCCTGGGAGCGCGAACGGCCCAAAGGGGTTTTTTTGTGGGCGGGGAAACGCAGGATCTTTTTATGTAAACATTCAATTCACAATTTTTTGAAACGGTTACGTATTTATTGTTATTTTAAAATTCTTCACGTGAACTAAATGATTTCTATTTTTGTTACCCTTTAAAAAGCAGTGGACCGTAAGCCCCATTCGCTTATTAATGTTGAGCAAAGCCGTTTCGTAATCTTCAACAGGTGCATGCTGAATGCAGAGAATGAACGTTTCTGCCTTCTCTGATAATGACGACTCATGTCCCATAAATTCGATTAATGCTGTTTTGCGATTACATGTAATCTTTCTTTTATTTTCGTTTTTTGTATTGGGCCTATGTTTGAAAGTCTTATTGGCTCATATCATATAGGTATAGCATATTAACCGAGAATGCCCGTACGTATTTATTTTCAAAGCTATTGCCAACAGACGTATTTATTTTCAAAACTATTGCCAACGGACGTGTTTTATTTTCGTTGTTTACTTTTGTTTGAAAGCGATCTTTGCTTATGGCGGTAGCATGTAACTGCATTAGTCTGAACATCCCGTGACTCGTGTGCTCAAGCATTCTTTACAACTACACGCTAATGGGTTCATTCATAAGAGTCACGTTGTACTTTGAACAGGCCCCGAACCGGATGAAACAGATATGCATTGAGTCCCGAGTACGGTGCATTTTGACCTTTTCCGGACTTTTCTCCGGAAGTGTTGCGAAACGTCTATGTTCATGAAAACTCTTAAAATTCTTTTAGATGTTTATTCCATAGTCTGAAAATTAAAAGAAAAGTGCAAATAAAACGTAAGTGTCTTCATCATCGGTTCGAAGTAAAAAGAAGATGACTGGAAAGTGTATGGGCGAAATCGGGCGCTAGGATTGCCTAACCTGACGCACTTCTATTAAATGTCAAAAAAGTCCTGAATTAATTTGTTTTTCGTTTTGAAATGGAAAGGAGATTATCTTTGTTATACGGCAAACTCTGTTGCTTGTCAGAGACTGCATACTCCAAAAAAGGGGGGGGGCGCTATAGTTTAAACATATTTCTGAACAAGTTTTGTACCCACTTCTTTACACGTTTAACCCTCGACATGCGCCAAACATGTACAATGGAGAAGCGTTTAGCATTTAAACACGTTCCTAAACACATTTGAATAAACATTTCGTGGGTCAAATGTGTTTTAAAAAGTGGTTACAAAAAAATGTTTAATTTGAACTTTAGACGTTGCTTTCTGGGGCAAATCATCCCAGCATAGGCCCTATGTCACTTTTAATTTTGCATTTAACCTGAGATTAAATCAAGGGGTTATGCGTATTTCATAATTTGGCCTTAGGCTTATACTACATTACACAGTTAATGTACTGAGTTAAAACAGATGAAAGTGCCGGGAGTGGGTGATGCAGCAGTGAACTATCGGTGGACAATTTCAGATTAGAAGATGAGATTATCGGAATAAAAGATAGGAGAGCAAATCTTGTAGCTTCAAGCTTACGCCACGTAGAACATTTGGACGACTCTTGCTGGTCCAAAGTTTATGGGCAGTGTGTTCATCATTACAAACCACGGCCCCTGGCTCGGGAGAACTAGCATCGGAACAAACTACTTTACAGAAAACTTGATAAGCAAACACATAACGAATATTCAACTGGCTGACGTTGACCTTCCAAAATCGGATCTCAAAAAAACCAGGACATGTAAGAGTCAAGTTATCAGACTCCCCATCCGCTTATGCTATTACCACGTGGCAAGGGCCGCGGCAAGTCATCAGTCTAGTAATACTACCCAGCACTGGCGACTAGGATATTCAGATTGTATTCTCTACATCAGTGACCCTCAGTAATGTCCGATAAATGCCACATCATGTTTATGAGATATTTAAAAGTTACTGCACATCAACAGGTTAAGTCTAAAATTCTACCGCCGGCCTACTGGCCCGTGGCGGTTTAAGGCTTAATGGATTGAATTTACGAGAGCCAACCCCGAACTGGCTTGTCCAAGGTCGTCACGTTTTGGTAGATCAGGGAGTCCTCCCCCCCCATCAATCTGTGACCACAAAATCTAAAAGTTCATTTCAATGCAATTCTATCCAATATACTATCGTCACTGAAATATTTACAGGTGAAAAGCTGAGGAGTATCCTTTAGTAACAAAATAGGGGTGGGTTTGTTGACTTTTGCATTGGCCCGTTCGGGCTCAACAAAACGAGTGTGAAGCACAATTGTTTGCTTACAGTCTCATGGCATGCAGGTCAACAGTATTAATTTACATTGTTCGGCGTGCATTGGAAAGCGTCACTACCCTCTGATTCTTATCAGAGTATTATTCTCTTCGTTCGATTCAAACAGCTTTTTTGAAGTTAGGCCAGGTGGCCCTAATTTGTCTAAAGGGGAAAAATTTAAGTTAACGACAACTATTAAAGAAAGGTTTGTCACATGGGTAGGAGGTTTAAGAGAGAATACACGTTACGGAATGTGACATTGTATGAATTCAAAAACTTCCTCACCGCTTTTAGAAAGTTAATGAACAGAAACACTGTTAGGCCTATAACAAGGTCCTTGGAACTTCATAACAGCTCCCTTGTATTATCAGTAATTGAAAACAAAGAAGAATAACTCGGACTTGGGACGTAAAATTGTCCATGTTATAAAATGACTTTGTGTACATGCACAGTACTTTTGAAATGATGTCTTCAAATAAAGTCACCGTCTCCTATTGTTCATCCATTAAATTTCTTTCGGTTGGTCCTTTATGACATGACGTATAGGTTTGAAATGAGCAATGGATTGAGAAATAACTTCTCTCGAGAGTTCAGGCTCAGATCGTGCAATTTCCCAAGTGTTCAGCACAACAAGTGAAAATTTCCCGATCACTTTGTGTGCAGTCTGTCTTTCAAATATATCATCTTTAGGAAAATGTGGAAAGGTCTAGATACATAATAAGAAAATGTTTTATGTTTTGTCTGAGAAAAGGACGCTTAAGACTGGAATAATGCGTTGGCGTTTGGAACTTAGTGTTTGCAACAAACCTGGGTCGTCATATACACCATCAAACTAATTTATACATCCAGACGATGATTGACGTTGGGGGATATCTTCAGTTCCTCTCTGAGCCGCTCCCAGAACAGATGCTGGCCGAGCCCGTCCTTCGGCCACTTGAGGTAGCTCTTTCGGCACAGTGTCTGGCGCAGAAGAATCGTCATCTTATGGTCAGATATCTCCTCCAGTAGGACCAAAACCAGCACATCCCGGCCCTCATTAACGAGCCGCAGGTTGGCCATCTGCATCTCGTAGTAGCACCACTCACTCTCCATAAAGTGGTCGGTCAGCACCAGGATGGTCCGTCCGCTGTTCTGGATGGCCTCCACGGTGACATCCATCTTGGAGTCTCCCGCCGGGAGGTCGCGGTCGCTCAGGCACAGCCGGAACCGCTTGTCGTCCTCCTGGTGATCTTCCAGCTGGGGAATCAGCTGCTGCATTACCCACTCCCGGTCGTGGTCGTTGTAGGACACGAAAGCGTCGAATCTGGGCATGTTGTTGTTATCCTCCTCTGCTGCTGCGTCTCGGGTGTCCCGTTGTATCAAGCCACGCCGAAACACCATGAAGAACTTGTAGCGCAGGTGCCAGTGGTAACGGACGCAGAGGAAGATAACCGCCAAGATCAATATCGACCCTGACGCCAGTCCAACTCCCAGGTATACAGCGAGGTATGATACACAGTAGTCTAATTGAAGTCGTGCTACCAAATCCCCTTGGTGGTCTTCTGGGGAACTACATCTGTACTTTAACGGAGAGAGTAAAAAGATTCTCGTGTCTTCAAGAAGCCAATCTCGGAAATCCTGTATATCGCATGTGCATGAATATGCATTTTCGCTCAGGTCCAGCACGCGCAGAGCCGGCTGCTGGCTAGACGACAAGAGTTCAATATCAACGAACGTGATTTTGTTTCCGGAGAAAGTCACCGATTTCAAACTCGGGAGCTGGGGAGTAAGAGCTGAGATGTTTGTGAGCATGTTGTGGCTGAGGTCAAGCACCTCGAGCAGGGCCAGATTCGCGAAGGTACTGGCACTCACAGCAACCAATGCGTTCTGGCTGATATTCACACGGCGAAGGCGTCGGTTATTATCGAAGACACTCGTTGAAAGGTATGTAAGTGAGTTCCCTCCGAGGTTAACCGTCTCCAAAAGCGGCAAACCCAAGGTTGCCCACCCGTACCCACCCGATTCGTAAAAAGAGTCATCGCTGATACCGTTGTAGGACACATCCAGCGTACCAAGGGAAGAGCAGTTGCGTACAACTGCGAGCAAGAAATCTTTTTCTATGTTGTTGACATATAACTCCTTGAGGTTTGGTGACAAATAACTGAGGGTGTTTGTAAGATATTCTCCGCCCTCGTTCCGGGAAATGTCTAAAACACTCAGAGCTGGGAGAATAGTGCTCCAGCCGGTAGGTGGAATCTGATGAAATTTATTGTCAGCTAGGTACAGGTACTCCAGGTGCTGAAGTACCCCCAGACTACCTGCTAAATTATGCAGTTGATTCCCCTTGAGGTTCAAACTTGTCAAGAAGGGCACGGATATGAAGTCATTACGTTCCAGCCGGCTTAGCTTGTTCCTTGCCAAGTTTAGAACCCTGAGTGACTTTGTACGGTTGAATGCAAGCAGTGATTTAGCAGGCACTTGTTCCAAGAAATTATCAGAGAGATCTAGCTCTTGCAGATTGTTCAGGTTTGCAAAGGCATGCTTGGTCAGAGAACCAAGAAAGTTTAGACTTACATCGAGCTTTTGGAGAGTCGACATGAAACCTAGCGCCCCTTCCTCAATTTCCCATATCCTGAGGTCTGCGAATGAGACAGACGTAATATTTGGCAGGTACTGTGATAAACGGCGCACAACTTGTACAGAAAGGGTGTAGCTTGTAAGAACGTCTGGCAACGCGCCGCTTAGATCCAACTGAACAATTCCAGACGGTAACTTGTCAAGTGCGTTGTAATATGTATTACTTAAGCTCAGCTGCCTGAGATTTTGGAGCGGAGAAAAAGTACCGTTGCCTATCAGGTAGAGACTGTTCCAGGAGAGGTCAAGGTGTGTTATCGGCAGAGAGCGGAGAGCTGAGAGAGAATGATTACGGAGATACCCTATATTCATTCCCGACAGTAGCAGCCGTTGCAAGCTTCTCATTGATTGGAAACCGTCTCCAAGTTGGAACTCGTCTCTCGGGTCAAGCAAGTTTTGTGACAGGTCCAGCGTATGTACCCTGCGTAAATTTCTCATAGCGTCAGACGGCAACACGCTTATGTCATTGTAGTAAAGTGAGAGTTGACGGAGGTTTTGGAGATCTCGAAATGCTCCTGCTGACACTGAGATGATGTAATTTGACGACAGATCAAGATCCTCTAGTTCCAGGAGCCCCGTGAAAGCACTGTATTCCAAAGACTCGATGTTGTTTTGGGATAGATCCAGACTCTGCAGCGACACAAGGCTGCGGAAGGTGTTGTTACCAATACGGTATAGGACATTAAGGGAGAGATTCAGAACCTTCAGACTTGCCAGGGCGGAAAAATCGCGCGTAGTCAACTCCAAGATCTCATTCGAAGACAGATCGACAGCGGTTACCATTGGCGGGAGGTTGGCTGGTACCAAAGACAGATTTCGCGCGCTGCAGTCTAACTTGGTGCTATTCCACAGCTTGCAGGGTGCCGACTTACTGGGAAGACCAGATGGACTTGGGTCGGCATTAATCCTGTTTGACGAAAGCGTCAGAACAAATACAGCCACCAACAAATGGAGCACTGGCATCAGTGCGATATTCAAACGAGGGACAGCCATTCTGCAAATTGTAATTCTGCGTTCGAAATTCTTCGTCAGGCGGTTCTCTGTGTGAAACAAATAAGTTCGGATTGTCCCCCAATTGGAAACTGTAGTAGTGAGTTTATGGAATCAATGTGCCGGAGCTGCGTTTGACTAAATAGCTTAAAAGATCAGAACACGGTCACTATTGGCAAGGTCTTGCACCGGTGTGGGAATGACTATTGTGTAGTCGACCTTTTATGAACTTGCATGCCAGGTTTCGTCCCACTTCCGCTTTGCGTGTCGTGACTGAAAAGCAAACGAGGAAGTAACTCCTGAAAATTCCACGATGTTGCTGCTGACTTGAGTGTTTGTGCACTACAGAGGGAATAGTTCGTCATTAATGGGCCCTTATACAAACGAACCATTTTTGCGCTACCTTAGATAAACGCACCGCGGCTAAGCGTGTTTTGATTTGATGTAGGCCTACGTTGCGCAAGCCTAAACAACCAGACGGAAATTGTGATTTCTCGAGATGTTTGCGTGACTGGGTTAGTCACGCAATTTATTGACCATAGTTTTGCCAATATGTGCCTTCACCGCGACGCTTTGATTTTTACTAAACAAGGGTGCACGGCAAGTGAACTCCATCAATCGAATGTGCGGACATCAATTGCCTGACTGTTAAGTTAGTCACGATGTGTAGATTTTCTATCGTTCAGTGGGAAGTTTCGTGCCACGCATTGTGTTCAAAAGTGAAATTTGGAACACTTCCGTCAGTGTTCCGAAACCGAAATGCCCAGAGTGTTGCTGAGAACTGCGGAAGAGGAGTGGTAGGCTGTTACGTCTTTAGCCTGTGTGATATATATTGCATACATCTGCCATAACGTGTTGCATTTACCTGAGCATTCGAGTATCAGTCTTTTTATGAGCTTTAATGGGGAGAGATACTTTGTAAAATTTACTTAAAATTTTTTCCAGGTTTTACGGTCAACAGTTTTTATACATCATATGGATGTATTAGACACATAATCCAGTATTGAGGTCAGTAAAGAACGGTTACCGGTATTCACAGTATAAAAAAGCAAGTTTGGCCCGAGCCAATTGGGCTCATCAGGCCGATGTTTATCTCCGGTTTCCTTGGCATGAACGACTGAGAATATTTCTATTCCCCCTGGGTGGGATGCCAGTCCATCGCAGGTTGTTTCCCCAGCTAATGCTGGTATCCATTTATATACTTTTGGGCAGAGAGGGGCAAGCAGGGGGTGAAATGGCTTGCCAAGGGCCACAACATACTACCAGCAACTGGATCCGAACCTCCAACCCTATGAATAGGAGCCACAGACCCTAACCACTTGGCCACATGCCCCCCGCTCTACAAAAAGCCTCTTTTTTGCTGGTTCTTTATCATCTGATTGGCTGAAACAAGATCTCGTGGGATTCACTAACATAGGTTAGTGCACGAAATGTGCGTCAGCGTGACCTGGGCGTGTGGCCAGTAGTGTTTTGATTTTTATTTATTTATTTATTTAGTTTTAAAGCAACCCACTAGGGAAACACAAAATGAAGACTACGATCGGGGCTCTGGGGGATGTTTTTTTCAAAGAGAACTTATATTAAGTCCGACATTTCACCCTGGGAAGCTTCCACGAGGCGTGAAGATTAGTCTCCCTCAAGACTGGCAATGCAACCATTTTTATCACAGGAAAAAACATTTTACGTGGTCTTTGTCCATAAAGTTGTTTAATAAAAATGACGCTGCCCAATGGGGAACTATACCCAAAATGTTTGACTGGTCATAGCGCCCTCACATGGTGAGAACAGTGAACAGCAAGTAAACACTGAATCTATTCTGGTTCCCTGATAAAAATGTTAGGTCAGGCATCACCCACGGATATAAATAGATATGACGCAAGGGTCAGGGGTCACAAGGTGAGAGCCCGGGTGTTTCCGACTTCATTACAGTGGTTCACCGTGTTTGTGTGGGCACATGCCAGTCGTCAGGTCCTGATTCTTCCTGAATTTTCCTTTGCGGAGGTTACCGAGGAGACCTTCAGTTATATTCTGCATTTCGCCTGGCATTGATTTCGGCCAAGGCAACCTTCGATTTCAGTGTAAAGTCAACTACTGTAGGATCAACAGCTGTCATTAGGACACAGGAGTTTACGTTCAACAACTAGCCAAACATCTGAACATGCCGAATATAGACGAGACGACTGCGGAATATTTTGGCCATTTCTGGGAAACTGGAGGAATTCCTCCAGTTTTAGTCACGTGGACACTGCGTGATACCGGACCCTTGATTCGTAGAGTAGTCAAAATCGTCGGGTCTGGTATCCAGACTAACCTGAATCTATCCGCTCTGAGCGGAACGGAAGAGGGCGTGTTTTGAAATGGACAGTCCCACAGACATAGCACCCTCGGGGGGAGCGGGTTAGCGTTCTTTCCGCGCTTTGCATCAATAAGGCCCGGGTTCGAGTCCCGGCTTTGCCCAGGCTTTAAGTGCATTTGGTTTCCAGTCCATACCCGCTCTCGCAGGTTTTCTCCGGCTACTCTGGTTTCCTCCTGCCTCTAAAACTGGACCTTCTTCTCAACTCCGTAATGTGATTGTGATTAATGAAGTGTATGAATAAACGTACAGTTATTGGCGCTAATAGCCTGAGATGTTGAAAGCGCCATTAAAACAAAACAAAACAACTACAACAACAACAACATAGCGCCCTCTACTGGTCGTGCTATTTGGCTGTGCTCGCTGGTGCATGTCGCCTGCACGGCCGGCGCTCCGGCCAAAACAGTAAAACCGGTCATTGGGCTAGACTATGCACACACAGGCGACAGGCTTGAGTTCAGTTCAGCAATATACCTCATGAATAATTCATGTTTTGGGACTCACCCACCTATGAAAAAAATTGCCTGCGGCTCAGGGAATGTAAGAAAACAGTAAAGACGCCTTCTATAAACGCCATGAAGCAAAGGGCGACAGCACACGTTGCGTCGTGCTTCGGGCGACGTAATACGCGACGCAACGCACATCACAACAATTGACGCGTCATACCGTCGGTCGACGGAACGAGCGAGGTGTAGGCAGGAAAAAATGCAAGGAAAGGACGTAAGGCAGCACGCGACGAGCGACGGCACAACGCGACACACGACGAGACGCGTGTGTACAAACGTAATGGCTGGAAGGCGACGGCGCGACGCGACGGCACGACACAAGGGAGCCGTCGTGCCGTCGTGTCGTGTAGTTGCGTCACCTTGGAAGAGGCTAAATAGAAGCAGAAATGTGTGTCGTAAATAGTGCACCGTAGCTTTTGTCGTTCCATTTTTATCGACGACGAAACGCGTCGTCTGAGAGTGCATAAAACGCTGCTGTCTGCAGCAGTTAAATACTGAGCAGGCTCAGCTCTAAATCAACTAAATTTCCGTGGGGGCAATGGACCACGAACATACGCGTTAATAATTAAAACGGGATGCGTGTAATGGAAGAGGCTGCTGTCAAGGACAGCTTGTTCAGGTATATATACGAGTTCACATGCACGAAGGCTACGGTATTGTTGGGACAGCCTGTAGGCTTACCTATTTGGGTGCCCGGTCGTCAGTCAGCAAATTCATTTATGCACTCTGGGTCTACTCGCAGAATCATCTCAGACTTTTCGGGACTTTCAAGTTCAAACAGGTGGGTGTTGTGATATGTCGTGTGCCTGTAATTGGTTAGTAATGATCAATCTCATTTAATGGCTTACTTTTATTCAGGGGGCTTTAATGTACAACATGGTTTTCAACCTGTGAATATTGTTAATTCTGCTGAATTCATGGGCCCAAACCTTACAGTTCATCGTTAATTGACGGGGCTTCCTTATCTAAAACGAAATGAATTGATTAAAAAAAACCGAGGTTTTAGTTTCACGGGGAACGTGATTAAACCACTGTGGTCATCTTATCAAACTTAAACGCATTGTTGTCAAAAATTTGACAGCGTATACATTAAACATCTTGCCTTTGATGTGTTATCAGAGCAAGCCAGATAAAAGCTCATAATCAGGATTAACATTCTACACACACAAAACAGGAAGGGTAGCGAATACTTGTGACTTCGTCTGGGGACGAATCAAATTTTACACTTGAGCATTATGTTTATCTGAAGTGTCCGTCGAAGATCCGACTTAAAGTGAGACTTAAACGTTTAACTTAAACGTGTAACCTAACCTAAGCCCCCAATCCAGGAGAGAAATTGGTATTATGTAACAATTCGAAGCCTTTTAATGATTTCAAAATCAACATGATCTGGTGCCGTTTGGAGAAATAAAAATGATTCACTAGTCAGGATAAGCTTTAAGTTTCTGTTTCTATTATTGCACAGTTCAATTAACTAGTTCCCTGTACGGAAACAACGTTGACGGCGGAGTTGACACAGTAAAAGCACCGAGTAGGAAAGATGATTTTTGAGTTGTCATATACCACCACAGGTAGCCAAGTGCAGCAGGTCGATACAATGTAACTGAGTTTATGTATTTGTAGTCCTAATGTGGTAGGTCGTCATCATGAAAAGAAATAGGATCGTAATTTTATGAATGCTCTGCTGTCTGGCAGCGTCCATATAACGTCCGGATGTGGGCCAGTAGGCATGAAAAATCAACACATCGTGTACACAGGTCATTGTCGGTTCACGAACGTACAGGCTGTGTTCAGAATACACCCACGCAGGCCGATTGGCGGCATGTTTGCGGCATTTTTTGTGGACTTCAAGTGTAGGCATAGCGATCGCCGAATAGAACCTTTCACTCCAAATGCAGTCAGAAGGGGTACAAGTCCTACCAAAAACTGTTGAAATACAACAGTCAAGACAATATTTTGCCGCCCATACGATCAGTTGAGAATGTGAGAGAGGTCAGAACTCTCTGGAAAATGGTACATGAACAGTGTTGGCATTCTGCTGGAGAGTGCAAACAGTGTTCGTGTAGGCCGACCAATGTCCATGCTCATATATTCACACAGACGATCACTTAAAGAGAGACAGAATTCCAAAGGAATTGGCTTATTTTGGTCTTTTGCTGCGAACGAGTTCTTCAGTTGGTGTTCCACGTAGCATTTCTGGTATGCGTGGCTCAGTCGCTGAACGCAAGTCCGCGCATTCTCCTCCGCGCATTCTCCGGAACAGTACTATACTGTGTTCAATATTCAGAAGCACTGCGCAACAGACTTATACTTCATAAGGAATAATCCTCGTGTAGTTTTCTGCCTATGTTCACACCATCTTTGCATAGATATTTGTACTCCCTTGTGGCTTGTATGAGGCCCTACCTTTTCTATTTTCTTTATACCCCTTGGGCCTTTTTATCAAAAGCTACATTTGCTATTATGAGCTAATCCAACGGCGGAGCTTTCCAAACACGCACCCATTTTCCCCCGCTCTTGGGCATACTAAATGAAGCGTGGAAGGCCAAATAGGCGGCAGTGCTGCTTGGTGCAGATTCATTTCTATGGGGAAATGATTTTGGAACCTACTGGCCTATGTCAAAATCTTAGAAATACTCTCTAATGAGAACCAGCATCCACTCCTACACTCACAACACTACATGCCAGGAAAAAAACAAAGTTCGGCCAAAACGTTTTATTCTGCACTAGCAAATTGGTCAGTACCATTTTTGTTATGAATAAAAAGTTATTCATGCACTTTAAAGTTCGTTCGTTTCGGATCGCAGGGCCGGATTATCCAAGAGACACACTCCAGGTCTACAAATATCTGGCAGCGTCACAAACTTTGACTTCGTTTTTTTCATTTCGACAGAGGTTCGCATAATGGTCGACTCAACAAACAGGCAAACACTCAGACTTCTTGACAAGTCGCAAAACGTAAGCGAAAGGAGTCTGTCGGGAGCAGATACCAAGGAATTCGAGGATGAACTGGACACGGTATGTTGACGCTTTCCTCTCACTTAGAGGCAGAGAGTGCTCGATTGCTGGAGTCGTCGGGTATATTTTTATGAAACAGTCCAATATGCAGTTAACAGACTGTACACGAAGTTAAAGCACTCAGACTCACAGACCACTAATCGCCTCTGCGGTAGAGATATTGCATTCAACGTGTTCGTGTTAAACTCATCTAACCGATTCTAAATCAAGCTTATTTTATTGTCGTAGTACTTGGTGTGAAAAGTCGTCATCCTGACTTAACATTTGATGGTGTTTTTATCAAACAAACCAGAATTGAATTGAACTGAATAGACCTTATTCACGGGGAAAGCATTTTGGATCTTGTTATCTTAGTCTATTGTATTCAATGTAATCTGTGGACGGTGGTGGCAGACTGTGTTGGGTTCAAAGTCTCACTTTCCATTATTTTTTAAATGTGTCTTTAAAAATTTAGCTATAACTTATCAAAAATTCCAAATTATTATAAACTTTAACTGGCATTAATTTGTATTTAACTTTTTATTTAGTTGTTGTTATTTTTCTCTCCGGTTCCCAAAATGGAAAATTAACCTCAATTCAATTCAGGGTGGCCGACAAATAAATACAGTATATTGAAATTAGCCTCTGTTTTCTGTCTTGATGAGGGTGCTTTGTGCCGTACGGTCGATTCAGTTGAGACTGTCCCTGACCAAAATGTGTATTAGGAGAAAAATCGGAAATGATGTTAGGAGCCCGTATAACGGCTTCTGAACAGTAAGCAGAAAAGCCCTTAAATCTGTGCTTTGGTTAAGAGACGTCAGTTGACTGCACCATATCAACTGACCCTGTGTTTTTCTTACTGTCGAGTCTCCTGACGAAGGCCCAGAATACAGGGTTGGTGAAAAGTGAAAATCTTGAGGACGTTACATCAGTGATTGCCGGATGTGCTCAAGCATCACAGATGCTTGTAGGAAATTGAAATGGCTATTCCATAGGCTAGGGACAGAAATAAATTCGAGGTAGATTTTTTCAACCTCGGTTTCAGAGTTGTCCTTATTATGTTATATATTGTGTAGGGAGAGAAGTGACCAAAAAAAAACCGTATTGTACTGTCATTCAGACGGCCAATCGATTTCCCTCCACACCTCAGACCGACTTTAACAAATTTGAGTTTCTACACGTTCACAGGCAAATGGCATCAACATTTGGCAGACGGCCATTTCCCTGTCGGGTGTTTGTGCTGGCTTGGGTTTCTTAGCCGTTGACGTTCTGGTCGTAAGCACAGGTAAGTGACGTCGGGGTTTTCCCTATATAGCACTGCCAATTTCGTAACAATCCACCACGAGAAGCGTGCATGTTAGACATGCCAATGTCCAAATCAAACATTATCTTTTGAGTAAATTTGTGCCGGTGTGGCGGTCTCAGCTGTCTCCCGGTCTCAGCGGCCCCCTTGAATAGCCAGACATTAAACGGAAGACTTTCCCGTTGTTGTGCGCAGAGATGGTATGACGTATTTTACCATATTTGGTAAGGGGGACTGCTGAGACCGGGAGACAGCTCAGACCGCCACACCAGAAATGGGGGGGGGGTGACTTGCCCGGCCATTGAAATTTGAAAAGTGGGAGGGGATGGCGCTGACACCATTATGACACAATGGAGTGAGTGATGTTCGTGATACCGGTGTACATCTGTGATATGCATTGCATGTACATGTACATTCGTACAGAATTTTACATAAAAACGGCATATTTATAGCTTAAAAAACTGTTGTCCCTTTTTGAGCGCTGTTTAATGCATTTTGGTTTTGGGAAGTCTGGAAATTTCTTCACGATTTGCCTTATATTTTTCTCATCACGAAAAGTGTGGACATTCAGTCTAGACAACCCAGTACGTTTTGGGAGGATTGGCAGTCAATAAGCCACCCACCCATCTTTCGCCATGCATGCAGCTTGCTGACCCTATCACACATCTGTATTTATACCTTGCTGTTGAATTTGTGTGATTAAAAGTTTGTCTGCGTTAGGCTGACCTCAACAAAGTGGTCTGTGATCGATTAAGGTGACTACTGATTATGTTTTCATGTTACTTTCACCAACAAATTGACTAATTACTGTTGGTTAATGGAACTCATTAAGAAACTCTATTTGAAAACCCATGACTTCCTCGCAATAGCATTTTTGTCGAAGGCGTGGAAGAAATCTCCATGGATCAGAAAATCAATTTGACTGCTGATCTTCTCTTCAGGTTGGATTGGCTTCTTTCTCTTCATCCTCCTGTATGCTGCCTTGCTATACACATCTATAATACTGGGCCGCTGCTGGAATATGGTGCGGGATAAATGGGGCCATGAGCGCCATCCTTACGGCGCGATCGGCTACGAGGCGTTCGGTGGCTTGGCACGGTAGGATTTCTTTAGGAATTTAACCAGTAAAACATGATTTGCACTGTCATTACTCAGGATAAGAGTTTAGCCTTTGGTCGTGTGATCTTTATGGGATTAAACTTTTATACCTGTTCCAAATCTTACCTTCAAATGAGCATATTATCTTGTTTCAAAAATTAAATTATATCAGATTTAAATTCACGGAGCAAGGTTTAATCGTACACATTGAGTTTCAACTTGAGTCATTTTGTTTTCATCTCCTCTTTAAGTGATGAATTGCTTGGTTCCAGCTTGTTCCAAGGTCCAGTAGGCCATATTAATAGTACTCTTTGAATATGGAAGCAGACAGTAACAATGTGTTATCTTTTCGGTATATCAAAACACAAAATACCAAAGTGAAGTTCCAAACGAGGGTGGATCGGGGGCGGGTATGAGGCCAACGGAGGCAATCCTCTGGAAGTTATTCTATAACAATAGAAAGAAGTACTTGCACTGAAAATATTAGCAGGTCATCTTGCACCGAGAATTCGTCAGTTTGAGAACTAAAATTAGACTCTTTAAGAACTGAGTTCTACATTTAAAAGACTGATCGGATGTTTTTTGACCAATCGATGTTTTTGAAGTACTGATCTATTTTTGTAAAAACCAATTCAGATTTTGTTTAGACAAATGCTGCAGTGAGATTAATTATATAACGGGTTTTTTGCCCTTACCCAACTCCCCAACGCAAAAATACATCTTGAAAATGAGATTAATTAATTTTGATCAGATTTACTAATCAGGTGCTTCACTAAATGTTCGACAGACGAATTGAAATGTGAGTGACAAATTGGATGACTAATTAAATGCTAGAATACTAATTCCATGTGATTAGTCGAAAGCTGTTTGAAGCCGTTTGAAGTCGTTGTCCCTCCCTCTGACCTCTGAAATTAATGTCTGATCGAGGTAGGTCTACAAATACAATCTAACTGTTTAATTTTTTAAACAAAAAGTTTTGGAGCGATTTTTGAAGGTTCAGAATAGAGAATTCTAGGTTTTCCTGAGGTTTTCAAAAGTGTGCTGTGGTTGAGAAAGGTGTGAAGGTTTTAGATTGGCTGACGGTTTTCCGCTAGATTTTTTCTCTTCCCGACCGGACACGTTTGCACGTAAACCTAACTCAGCGCCGATTCCGTTTATCCCGCATAATCTTACGACCTGCTAACGTAAGAATCATCGGGAACGAAAGACGAGCACAAAAGTACAGTAAGTTAACATGAAGTTTCTTTTTGAAACCGAGGTCTATCTGTCATAGTAACGTTGTCAGCAAATGTTGAAATTCACGGGATACAGTTTTACATGTATAGGCCTAATATACATGTATGAACCACATGAACATGTACACCGGCTCCGACGAGAATTTCCATGCACATGCGCAATAATATTATTATGTCCGCCGTGGTACGCGTGGAACAGGCCGCAGTGTACCGTGCAGAATTCGCGGCTGGATCGGTTTTGTGCATGTAAAAACAG